GTTGTGATGAATGCAAGCTTCAAAGGAGTTTTATTCTGTAAATGTTTACTAACAGCAAATAACTTTCCTACCTTTCTGAGTTTTAGCAATTGTATTTTGTTTGGTTTTGCCAAGTGTAATACCAAGCTATAATCCATAACACTGGGTCTGTGAGTTATTCACGGGTCAACCTAAAATTGATTTTTGCTTTAGGCCTCTTGTATGCAGGAAGTCAGGTTGTGCTAAATGAGAGTCATGTTTCAAAATGACTGGTGCTGACAAAGTTCTAGTGTCTCTTTTCTGACAACGTTAGAGGGATTTTTTTTTCTTTTGTTTCAACTACCTGCAAAAAAAGCACTGAAAGACCAAAGGCACATCTTTTGCTACGCTCAAGCTCTGTCATGACTCTTCCTTTGCAATCTTCTGTGTCTCACTGATGAAGACGACACTAACTGTAGGAAAAAACTGTTCACTTGATCAATTTTGAGTAGCACGTGTTGGGTAAGAATGAATGTATGTGAGATATACTAAGAAATGTTTTTTGTTTGTAGTCCAAATTAGAGATATCTGCAGTTTCAGGTTCGTATAAGGATGTTTTTGGGTGCAAAACTACTGCAGTCCACCTGGAAACACATGGTTGCTGTAATTCACTGGCAACACATTTGCTGTTGTGTCTTGTATGTAAGGTTTGCTGTGAGCTAAGCGAGTTCTTGATCTTGTCTGAGAGTTAAGGCAAAAATTCAAGAAGAGACTTTCTATTGAGAATGTGGTTTTGCCTCTTTCCCACACGCTGTGCTTGTGGCTCTGGAGCTCATGTTGCCTCTCTCTTGCTTTGCTTTTTTGGTTATGATTAGAAGGAGATGTGGCGTTTCCTGCAAAACAGCTGCTAGTATTCCCTGGTGACCCGTCAGAGAGGATCCAGTGGAATTTCAGATTCAAAGGCAGACCTAGAGGACTTTGGCAGCTGCAGCAGAGTTTTTAGGGAAAGGTAAGGGGGTTGCATTGTGTAGGATACAGGAAGGAGGATCAGAAATGGAGCACAAGGGCATGGGAGAGAAGCTCTGGCGATTCAGGGACTGTTAAGTCTCCAACAACATAAAGACTTCACATCTACAAACAATTCAGATTTGGCTGAGAAAGTTGGACTATATCCATGTTTCCATAGGACGGGGAGAATCTCCTGGAATAGTTTGTCATTTGCAATGCTACTGATGCAGAGTTTGCAGTGCACATTAGGACGATATGTAGTGTTGGGCTTTTAGATTGTTGCCACTAACTAGAAAAAATAACAGATATTGATCTGAAATTGATTGTTTAGAAAGTGCAGTTAATTCAGTAAGTGTTATGCTTTCCTCGGAGATGAATGTCATTAATACATTAACTGTTTGACAGCAGAAGTCACATGTTGCTTGTCACTTGCTGCAGTGGCTGCGCTGAGACAGTTGAGAGGTTGCAGAAGGATTAATGCAGTAAAGAGGATTGTAACTTTGTGTTCTCTCTGCTCTAGGAATTGACAGCAACTGGTATTTAGAAACAAAACAGAATATGTGTTGTTATTTATGTGGAGTATAAACATACATTTGGGAGTATTTAAGTGAATCGGAAAAGTTCTCTTTCACATTTTAAACTGGAGCACACATTCATAGCATTGCAGTCTTCTGCAGAAACTGAAATGCATGTAGAATTTAGGGTAGTATCTTATGAGTGATAACTGGTTTTCTAGTTGCCTTGCATGATATTTTCATTGTTTAGGGGCAAAAATTTTCATTCTACTTGAGGTTCAATTATGTCCAGTGACTATGCTGCTTCTGTATGTGAACAGGGACAGCCATGTCCACACCTGTTTGTGTAAAAGTTCACCGGCCCTGCTAGATCGAATCCGTCTACACATGAACCACAAATGAGCGTAGAAATTTTTACAGGGATGGCTGGTTGTCTCCTGAATGTGTTAGTATGTGAATATCTAATATTATAACAACTACTTGATGTGCTCATGTCATTTATTCACATAATTTATTACATAGGCTGTATAATAGCAGATTTCTATATTGTATGTAATTCTTTGTATGTGTATAAAATATTAATAGACAAATTAGTAGAAATTTTTAAAAAACAGATGTGACCAGGAAACTTGGTTTGATAGAGGAGCACTGCCACCCTGGTTTAAGCAGTTGATATTGACAGCTGACAGACTTCTTGCTTTGTCATATATTCCCATTATTTCTCTTTGAAATGCATTACTGCTAAAATAAGTTCTCCTGTAATCTTTTCCTTCCCTATCTTTTAAGTAAACATTTATTTTAAGTGGTGGGATGCACTTTATTATATTGTCATATCACAACAGCGCCTCTTCCACCATTTTCTGTGTTATACTAAAATGTCAAAAGTTAAAGTACTGGTTTGCTCTTGGAAATTAATAAAATGAGAAGGTTGTCTAGGGAAAAGCACCGAACATTTAGCTTGACTAAAAATCCAGTGTAAAAAGACTGTTAAAAAATAACTTGCTATGGCATGTGATACTTAGATGACTTTAAAATATAATTTTAGATGGTCAGTATCTTGAATGTCTGTCTTTCCGGAAGATTAATTTTAATAACAGAGTAGTGTATTTCACTTCCAAATATATCTGTAGGGATGATATCGAAGACGCAGTATATTAGAAGGCAGTCAGTCTTAAGAAAACCAGTACCTGTGGTGAAGATTGGAGTAATTAATCATGACTTTATATAATTTGTGTATGGAAATCATAGCTTTTCACAAATTTCACTTTATATACAACTTGATTTTGTTGGTTACATAGCAGTTCCTTTTCATCAGTCCTCAAGTAATTAATGGGAAAGTTGCAAATTTTTATTAAGCTAATTTAAATTGATTAAGTAGTTAAGGAGAAGGCTGGTGAATCTTGAAACAATAACTGTTATTTAACAAAATAAATACTATGTGAATGGAACTCTGCATTTCAGAGGCAGGTGCATAGCTTACACAGTTGTTGCCACAAATGTGAGGTGAAATGAATATAAACCAACTGCATCCTGCAGAGGACTTTTAAAGGCAGAGGCTGCACACTGAGATGTGTGGTGGGGTGGAAACTGGCAAATGACAGTTGGCATTTGAGGGGTAGAGGGGAGATACTTTTTGTATTTAAAAAAAAAAATAAGACTGTTTTGTTCTTCAGTTGCAGAAGAATCTGGAGGGAATTTCAGCATTTGTAATTAAAGCTGTGACTATGAAGATATGGAAGTGCTTGACCTTTAATAGAAAATGCCTTTATTTAGTCACTGGAGATACAATAGAAATAGTTTGGAATATTCTTTTAAAATTTTCTAAGCATTTCTCTTTGTTCTTGAGGTATTCGCCTATTTCAAATTAATCATGGATGAATCCTTCTGCTACTGGCAAGTTTTTACTTGTGAGGATGCCAGACAAATTGTCATGTTTTGATTCTCTGTGGGAAAATTTTTCTTAGTTATCGTTGAAATATCAAACTAGCAAGCGCAGGGTTGATGATGTAAATACAAAACCTTCCCTTGCAGCAGCAGGTTGCCATTGCTTCTTTAACCTGCTTTTGGCTGTCAGGGCGATGCTGTGCAAGCTCAGAGTAGCACCCACTTGGATTCTTCAAGTACTGAAGGCTTTAGACAAGGAAAAATTGATGCGTGTCGCAGGAGAAACTCCAACTTGTCCAGAGTTCTTGGTCTGTAATTACACTGCACTTGCTGGGTTTGATTGCTGTGTCAATAACGGGGGTACCTGGCTATCCTCTCTGATGGAGGCCAGGGTGCCCACAAACTGGAGTCAGCTGCTGCTGGCGGGGAATTGTGTCTTCCCCCGCCCGCCCATGTCACCCACTGCCTCGGGCTGGGGAGCAGCGGGGCTGGCTCGCCACGGGCTGAAGGGCTCAGGGAACGGGTGCTCCCACAAACGGGGGAACGGGACCGATAAGGATTTGTAGCACCTCTCAGCACAAAACAGCTCCCATCTCCTGTAATACTTTGTGCTCAAGTTCGCAGCACCAAGCCCATTGTTTGCCGCAGGCTGATCCAGCTGGCTGGCCACGCACTAGCACTTCTCCCCTGGAGAAGTATATAATTTGTAAAGAATGGCCAAATACTTTCTTAAAACAATCTTTTTATTTAACAGTTTCAGGGATAGGACATTCAGAGTTTTAATAATAATAATAATAATAATAATAGTAACCAAACCCAGATAATTTTACGGAGGTCTGTCTGTCCTGAAGCCTGTTCTCCTGCTGTGGAGCCAGCAGGGCCTTGCTTTTTGCAGTACTTAAAAAGTCTCTCGTGTGAGTGTGAACAGTGCTTACACAAGGGCCTGACCTCTAGATGCGATGTTTGTAACCAGTACGTAAACTTCCTGCTTTTTTGCACTTGCCATTTGCTCTGTGTGGAAAAAAATAAGCTTTTCCCTTGATTGGTGCTTGCAGATAACCTCCAAGCTACAAACCAGGCAGAGCCTACTTCTCTGGAAGGGCTCAGAGCAGTAAACCTTTCACTACTTTTCAGTCTTCCAGTTGTTTTCCTTCTAGCTTCCCATTAAACTTGAAACAAGATAGTCACAAAGTAAACTGCCCAATAACTGGGTCACATGAATTCTTCATAATCCATTACAGAAGCAATCTCATGTCTGTCACGGAGTATTTCACTGAGTTGTCTGAGCTGCTGTTACATACTTTACGTGAAAGAGCTGGTACACCGTGTATACCTCACACAGATGCTGGTGGTTGCTTATTGCTTAAAAAACGGTTTAAGATTTCTTGGTGAAATTTTCTGGTAGATTATTAGCATTTATTTTACTATTTTTTACATTTTTCAGAGCACTTCATGGAGTTGATTTTGTTTAATTATCATTTGGCTTGATTACATTCACAACAGTAATGAACTGGTGTTCTTTGAAGTGATGAAATCATTGTAACTAGCACAGAGAGGAACAATTTCCTCTTCACTGACTTCTTTTTTTCTTTTATTCAATGAAATGCTGTAAAGTTGATTATTTTTCCATTACAGAACGAAGACACGGTTCAATGTGTAAACCTTCCCCTTCTCCAGCTTCTCCAGCCTGCAATTCCAGGACATCCCTAGTACAAATGAAACCGAAATCCTGTATCAGCGGCCATAACCCTGTCAGCAGCAACTCAAAGCCATTCAAAACGCCCAAAGACAATCTACTTACCTCCAGTAGCAAACAGCACACAGTCTTTCCTTCAAAAGTATCACGGGATAAACCATGGTAAGCATCAAAATAATAGTTACTGAAGATGTTGATGTTCAAAAGGTAATAAGTATCTCTATGTATATTTCAGTCATAAAAAAATAATCTGTATTTTCATGTAAGTTTACAGTTTAAGACTCTAAATTTCCTAAAGGGGGAAACTGGAATGTTTTTAACTTAAAAAAAAAAATATATATATATATATATATGTAGGAAGAGAAAAAAGGACTGGTTTGCTTTTCTGATGTTCCATCAAATGTTTGCTTTTCTAAGATGTATATAGCAAGTGAGATATTGACCCAGTTTGCTGTCTTTAAGGTCCGTCTTCCATTACACTATCAGCCCTTAAAACTGATGATTTAAATAGTAGGATAATTTTTGCAGAACTCTTAATATTGGCTTAACTAATGTTCATGAAAACTTACTGGTTATAGTCTTTTATCTTCAACAGCAGCTGCTGTTGAAGTTCATTCTGTATTTTGATAATGTTTGATGCCCTATAAGAAGACAGAAGAAAATTCTGGCTGCAAAAATCCCTATTTTGGGGGCATCTTACATCATGTACTTGTGATATATATACACATATAGGCTTTGAGACTGCCAGGCCCATCCTCCCGTGACTGTGATGATAGCAGCAGAGTTGCAAAAATGTAAATGAGAGCAGAACTGGGTCACTATTTTATCCCATAAGAAACTCTTTTGTCTTTTAGTTATCTGCAGAAAAGATGCTTTGTGATTAGGTCACTAGGTTGGTGACTCTGATCTGGGTTCAGTTCCTGGTTCTGCACAGGCTACTGTTACCCCTTAGTCTCCTCGGCCTCATTTCTGTGTCTGTAAACTTGAGATAGTATGACTTCCTTTTTCTTAAGTTTTATCTACTTGCTGTGTAAAGATCCTTCCTTTTTGTATGCAATATCTAGCACAAGAAGGTCATGATTTTAGGTAGGGTTTCTGGACACAACTGCCTTAAAGCAGTATATATCTAATGCAAACCATTCACTCATGAGACAAAGCATAAACTCAAATTATGTTAAAGTAATAGCTCACATTTTCTGCCTGAAACGTTTACTAGTTGGTATGATTTCAAAGAGAGCAGCTTCTACCTAGCTGTAGAAGTTACACTGCACTGGAACAAACTTGACCAAAATCTAATCTTCCTCTAAATCTGAACGCATCGTCTCTATAAGCATGATGAGCACTGGGGACAATTATGGCATATAATTCTGAAAATAGAAAATCTGGATATTTAGATTACACACATACATACACACAGATGAGATAGAGGCTATTCTAGTTAAGCTTTAAGTGTCTCATTTGCTATTTAAATAAATATTGCTGGCTGAATAGTGACCTTTTCTTCAGAATGTTGGAGAGGGATTTTATATGAGAGGATTTTTTTTAAAGTCTAATTAAAAGAAAATCAGAAAGGACTTTAGAGTATTAACACCATTGACTGTAAACCTGTTTCTCCTCCTAGTGTTACAGACAGCAACTTACATATCCACATTTCAGCATACTAACTGAATCTATAAACAATATCTTCCGTTCTGGCAACAGATGGCATTCTGTCAGTCACTAAAAGCTGGAAGGGAACAAAATAAATGAGCATTTCCACCAATCCCTTTTCCGTTTATTGGGAACATCCCAAACATTTACTGATGATGAACAAGGTAGATTTAGCTGTTTAAAACTGATGTACTGCTCTGTTAATACTTTGGCAATTAATATGTCAGTAGTTGTACCCGTGAATTACCCAATTCTTGCAGCTCTGCTGGGAGGTAATAATGTAGGTTTGTTTACCAGTTGGGAAAAATGAGGTATATAGTGGTTAAAGATATTGTAATCATCACATAACAAATCACAGTCTGAAGTGGAGATCAGTGAAATTGTCTTTCCAATTTTAGTGTTAAGTGCCTTAGATTACATGACTTTTTAAAGAATAAAACCAGTCTGATAATCATCACAGGTTATAGAGAGCTGACAGCTGTTACAGAAGAAAGTGTTTGTTCCCGTTCCATTAGTGGATTATAATTTTTATTTAGAATTCTAAAACATATTCAGCAGGTCTGATTTTCTTAAAGGAGAAATTATTCATAAAATTTATTCTTTTTTAAGAGTGTATCTTCCATTCATCTGTCTGTACAAGCCATAGACTTTCATCCACTTATCTTTTAGAAAGAAATACTCAATTGACACAAATACATTTGTCTCAAATGCAAATAGGATTCATCGTGTATCCAAGTGTGTTGTGTTTTATAATTTTCAGAAGCTTCCAGTTATTCAGTGGTTTTGTCTGTTACATTGTAGTCTCGTACCACAAATATTTACTTGATATAGGTTCTTCCAGACAGTTAATCAAATTAACTTAATTCAGGAATGGTATCACTTGTAATAATTGCTTTCCAGACGTGGAATAACCTCTGTTGTGCTTGTCTGATTCTTTCATACAGCATCTCTTTTAAATTTTAGCTGTTACAATTAGTAGTAGAATTTCAGCAATGGCGTCTGCAACAGTATGGCCCAGTAGATCTGTCTGTTGTCATGCCTGCCTGCATGTAGACCCAACTGTTCCGTCGTTTAATTAATTGTAGTTTTGGTTGAGTCATCATCTTAAACACTGACCAAGTAGCTCTTTCTCTTCTTCACATCCTGCGTTGCTCTAAGACGTGCTGCAGAGGTTCAGGTTGCTCCTTGGCTAATGCTTAAAAAGCAAAAAGCATGATCAGAATGATCAGATGAAAGAGATCTGGAACTGTTTCATTTTTGTAGCTACTGTTTTAATACTTCCCTTCTTGTAGTTGGAATATGAAGGATTATTGTGAATACATCATCCAGAAATATCTGTCAGCTCTGATTTTTTTTCCCCTAGATCTCTCTAACATTGTTGCTATTAATACAGCAGCACTTAGAGACTGGAGCAGTGCTGGAGCACCACTGCGCTGTGCACAAGATAAATGTAAACTGTCGTTTGCTGAAGCTTGCAGTTGAGGTGCTAAGAGGTATAGAAAAAGGGTAGAAAATAGAGAGAAAAAGACAATAATATGATTCGTAGTAATAGCAGTAATAATGAACAAGTGATCATAGTTAATAAGAATAGCCCAGATACTTACCTTTTATAAAAGGCATTCCTGCACCGAGGATCTCTCTCCCTCGCTGCTGACCTGCCCAAAGGATGCAGCCCTGCTTGCCGTGCCCAGTGCAGCTTCTGAGCACTGCCGTGGAGGATTTTGGTGCTGTGATGCTACAAGGGTGTTCATTTCCACCCATCCCTGATCCCGAGGCAGTGTAAAATTGGAGTGAAGTGTTAAAGTAAGCTAGCCCTGAGATACCAGCTGAAGCGAGTCTCCGTGACCTCCCTCCATGAGGATTAGCCATTGCCTGCCAGAAGCTCTGAAAACGAAGAAAATGAGATGGAGATTATGTGGTTTTCATGAACATGTAGAAAACTGACACTTTTTCTGTAAACAGAAATAAGATCACAAAACTATACCTATGGGTAATCATTTAAAATTTATAATGTCACTTTTCAAAGGATTTTTTAAATCAACTCTTAGTCTGTATTTCTCTGTGTTATGAAATACCATTATTCATACTGAGGTTGAGAAAGTGAAGGCCAGTCAAGACTTAAGGATGTTCCTAATGCAGCATAGAATTGGAAACAAAATTCATCAGGGTTAATTTGAACCACATGTTATAACACTAAATCATAAATACTTTGTTACATTGTAGATGCAATGCCAGGATGTAGAATAGAGCAATGTTTTGGTTTTAAATGCATGTGAATTTATTTTCTCACAAATTTGAAGAGAGTTGAATGAGTGGCTGAGATTTTAGAATGAATATAGTTATGACCAAAAAAAACAAGCAGCAAAATTATATAACAGCAAGCAAAAATTTTTTTTAAAGCCTGAAGAAATTAAAACAGAAGTAATAAGGAGCTCCAGGTATGAGGAGTGTTGTGACATATTACAATTTCTTTTCTTGCTTGGGAATGACAGTGACAAGCAATGGCTCGGAACTGAAAAAAAATGCCACAAGATACTTAGGAGGGAAATTCACTCTTGTTCCAGGAGTTTGGCACAGGTTCTGCTGAAGGAGTAGTTAGAATAGGGTAAGATAGAATAGAATAGAATAATTTCTGTTGGAAGGGATGTACAGTGATTATCTAGTCCAACTGCCTGACCAAGAACATGAGAAAACAGAAGGAAGCCAGTTATCTGAAAAAGAGAATGAGCTTTTCAAGTCTGTCATGATCAAGCACTTTGTGCAGCCCTCAGATATTTTTGTAGCCTTTTTCTGGTTCCCTTTGAATTCATCAGCATTGGTTTTGAACCACTGGTCAGCAACACTGGAAGCCATATTCCAGTATCAGTATAACCAAGGACACATGAAAACTAAATTTGCTCCTTAATCTTATTTGCCATATCCCTTTTTTGATATAAGCACAATACAACAGAAGCTCATACTGCCTATCCACTGTGACCACTACATATTTTTGTCACTATGTTCCAGTATGTTCTTTCCATGTATTTCACTGCAGACTGAATAGCTTGTTATTTCATGTGTAACTTTACATTTGATTGTATTAAACTATTTTTGAATTAACTTTACCAAACACTCCATGCTACTTTTAACAATTACCTTTGGCTCTTCATTATTTAGTTTCCTGTGATCCTGATTCCATCAGCAAATGTTATCACCAATAATCTTGTATTTATTTCTAGACCAGTGAAGTTTTCAGTCATGTCAGACTTGATAATGATGGCTAAAAAGTCCCCCTAGCAAGCACTCTTACTGAATCATAAAGCTCTGAAAAACTAGTTTTTAATTTCATGTTGTTTAACATTTTCTTTTAAACCGTTCTTGTTTGTGTTTTATGATGCCTTTCAAAAGTCAACATTTTCACAGTTACCTTGATTTCTTTGCCAAGATCTGATTTTCAGCAAAACTATGTGAACTAACTGTTTATCAATTTATTTTTATTAGCTTTTCTGTTATTTCTTCCAAGACACTATGGTGTGGAGTTTCAGTGTAGGTGCAACAGCACCACTCAGCTAGGTTCTCTAAGTTGCCAAATATTCCAAGATTCAATTAGAAATTAATATGCTGAGACGCAATATCTCTCCAACTCTTAGAACTCATGGCCACATTATCCAGATTTGCTTATATTAAAAAAGAAAAAAAAAAAAAAACCATGATTTTTCAGCTGGAACTTTACTCTTACTAAGGGGATCAAAAAACATTTTTATCTGATTGGAGAGTGTTATCATGCTTCCTTCATAGTATAGAAGAAATATTGAACATTTCTGTCATTTTTGCATCACTAATAACTGAATACAGATTTTTCTCACCTATCTTTGGCAATCATATATAGTCCCATTTTTCTCACTCTTACCGATTGTCCTGTGCCCTTCCTTGGTTTTTGCATGTTATTTTTCTAACTGCCACTTTCAGCAGTTATCTTTAATAAATCTAAACAGGCTCTTCATTAAAAAATTCATTTTAAAATACAGTAAATAATATTTAGAGCCTTATTTTTTTATTTTTCTAACAAATTTTTAAAAGAAATCCTCATTTTTCACTCAAAAAAACTGAGTTTGGGAAAAGAACTCTCTTTAACCATCAAATATAAATATAAGCATTTCTGATTTATTTACCTTTTTAGTCCTTAGTAGTTGACCATGATCATTGGTCCTCTGCATCTTCTAATTTACCATTTGGTTATCAATTCATCTTTATGTGTTATGCTAAGATGAAACTAGAATTCCTTAATATTGAATGCAGTATCCACTTACGTTACAGGGGGGGAAAAAAAAAAAAAAAAAAAAACAAAAACACAAAAATAAATAACAAAAATAAATTTTAAAACAAACAAAAAAACAACAATAAACCAAAACAACCCCAAACTTATCTGTAGCTTCTAAAATTTCAAATAATTTAGTGTAGACTGCCAAGATTCCTATAGAATGTGTGTCTTCAGATACTGGAGTATTTTTCTTTTTTCTTCTACATTGCAATGTAATGCATAATGCAAGCTGACTTGTTGATCTGTAACAAAACTAAGTGAAAATGTTCCCTCCTCTGGGCTTTTTTCATTATCACAGTGATCCATCCATATGTGCCCTAAGATTTGAGGTTCTGAGCTTTGCAAAACAGAGAACCTTTTTTCATATTTATTAACCCTATTATACTACTAGACCAGATAGTACACTTGACCCTTTCACTGTGCATCAATACTTTGAATTAAGATAGATCTTAGAAACTGGGCATGAAGATTTGTCCATATGTTTTCAGATAGTTTTTATATAGTAAAACTACTTGATCTAGATTTAAAAGAATCTGTTTTCAGAAAATGTAATTGATATCTGTTTAAAAGCAAAAAAATTCTACCCTGAGATAATTTTTGTCTGTCATTTAACTTAATAAATTCAGAGCAGTTTAAAAAAGTGGAGGATCAAATCCTGTCTTTCATAGCTCCATGTTTGCATTCATCGAAATACTTAATGCAATTCTGATTTTGAGAGTAAGTTACCTTTTTTTTTGCTTAGTTACTGGCCAGCACTCTACATGTTACTGCAGTTGGATCTGCATTCTGGCTAGCTGACTGCTGTATTTATGGTACCACAGGATGTGGAAGCTTCATGTAGTTTAATTCCAGCTCCAGAATATGTCTTGGTGTCTAAATCTTCTTTTTATTTTTATACACGTGTTATTTATATCAAGGTTCGTACATTTTTCTATGTTAAAATACCCTTAGAACAAAGCCCAACAACTTTTCAGTTACAGGAGAGTCAGCTCCAGCCACACACCCCACACTTTCAGCAGCTATGGAGACACAGAAGGTTTGTAGTAGCCCAGGAAGGTCAAGACTTGAGTTATTTCGGACCCTGCTTTTGTTATTTCCAAAGGGTGTCCCATGGAGAATGCCATCTCAAAGTCATCTTTTGCTGACTGTAGAAACTCTACCCCTGTTACCCATTCCTTCTGTAGAAAGAATGCAGTGAAGGTGCCCCTTTTCAGACACAAAAGACTGAAATTATCTGAGACTTGTGAATGGGGAGGGAAGCCCCAAACCGTACCGTGATGTGCAGATGGGCAAGTTTTGCCTGTCTTGGGACACTGACAGCAGTGCGGTCTCTGGCAAGAAACTCTGCTTACCTGATCTGCAACATGCCAGCACGTGCCAGAATATATACTGATTTGACAGCAGTTGTGTGTTTAACAAACGTCACCATGAGTTATGCACTTGGAGAAGCTGTGTGCTACCATACAGAAGTATTGCAGTGATGTGCAAGAAGCAAATTGTTCTTTGAGTACAGATTGCTAAGGAGTAATTTTGCACTCTTTATAAATAAATTTCATTTTACCTTTAAGCATGTATATCAAGTTAAACCTTTAAGATAATAATAGATTAAAGAATCCTCAAGTTTTAAGAAGTTTTTGTGTGTGGGACAGCCTCCTTGACTGTCACCTTTATGCTGGGGCTAGAATTACGGAGGTTAGCTTAGTTCTGTGCAATTCAGAAAGGAGAAGATAGGAATACTGTCAAGGAGACTCATGCTTCTAGATGAGGAATTTGGTTTACCTTTTAAATATCACCATTGCATTTGTATTTAAGAAAACTTGTGTTTCTTTTGTTTGCTAGGTGTGGAATGATAGTCTGAAAATTGTCATTTTTGCATGATCTGCGTGTGAATTCACTTACAAGGCAGATAGTCAACTATTTGGCGAAAGCAACTCTTCAGGCAGTGTATGGGAAGAACTGAATAAGTGAGATGTTTTCATTTGCAGCCTCCAATGAAACCTGGGCTTAAAGCTCTGAGAATTTTGTTTTCTAAATTGGTATTTTTCTCTGGGTTTGTTTCAGTAAGGAGGGGTATATAATTTATATGTTATATGTTAATTGGTAGTCACAGGACACATAAAATTTTAGAATTGTTGGGTAAGTAAGAAGCAGCTATTGTTATTGGATATTTTCTTATGTGGATAGGAGCCAGAAATGTTAAAATAATGTTAGAATTGAAAATCACCGGTCTCAATTTTTTTTGCTGCCAAATTGAGAAGAAAACATTTGTTAGTGTCACAAATATGCTGTGGTGGTAGTTAAGTTAGAAGAAGTTAGTTATTGCAAGCTTTATTCTGAAAAGGGCCAACTAGGCTAATAATTATATTGGGATTTTATATTTTTAAGTTCATAAGATTTTATTAAAAATACATTTTAGTAATGTTCGATTCGTTAAGGATTTTAATACATCTAAAGGGGCTGCTGTTAAGATTTCTGTGCTTAGAATCTCTTTTCTCATTGTTTCCAGAACTATTATGTCATTCAGACACATCTGAGCAAATGAATTATTTTTTTGTTTGTTTAAAAATATTAATATTGTTAGGAAGCTACTTTGTTTTCATGATGAGCTTAGTACAGCATACACATGGCTGATACCTGCTTGTGTTAAAGGCTTGAGACCATATATGTAAGGGGGTGTGTTTTGCTTAGTACCAAAGACTTATTTTATTTATAAACAGCAGGGGATTGGATCTTAAAAAAAAATAAAAACAAACAAACAAAAACACAAACAAACAAACAAGAAAACCACAAAGGCTCGTCTTCATAATTCTCTGTATTGCCAGGCTTTACAGATGGCTGTTTGTGTAAACATTTAATTGAACAAAAATAGTCAATAATGGTACTAAGTATTTCATTTTAGACTGCTCTGAAGATATTGTGTCACTTGCATTGAAATTTTTGTATCTGTGGAGGGGGATTAAGTAACTGTAAACCTTTGGTACAGATAATACAACTTGAGGATTTTTCTTTGGTTTTGCAGTGTTCCTGTTCCAGTAGTCAGTCTAGAGAAAATTCCTAACTTAGTGAAGGCAGATGGTGCCAATGTTAAAATGAATTCTGCAACCACTACCACCATCACCTCCTCCTCAGCTTCTTCATCCACTATACCTGCTCCAACTTTGGTTAAATCTGGTTTGACATCTAAGTCAGTGCCACCGTCACCAGAAAAGATTCTGAACGGCAAAGGAATCGTTGCTCCATCAATAGACAAGAAACACCAAAATGGCACTAAAAGCAGTAACAAGCCTTACAAAAGACTTTCAGGTGAGTGATGTTGTAGTTTTATTTTTGAGGTAGTCTGTCTTCATGAATATAGCTCAGAAATAATGTACTAATAAAATGCTGTCGCCTGCTTTTGGTTTGATTTTTTTACTGTAAGGTGCCAGTTTGCATATATGAAAAAGAAAGCTTTCATATTAGCATGTGTAAAATATTTTCAAAGTACACATTCTGTTTAGCTTGAAATTAGCGTGTTTAATGCATTTCTCAACTGGTCAACAGGCCAAGTACACATTTTTAAGGAAGTAAATTCATTAAAACAGAAAGGCAGAAAGCTTCCTTAAGCCATTATGTAATTTGAGTCTGTTTGCAACAAAAGTAAATGTGCCTTGGTTGATTGCCTTTAGTATGGTCATGATCAAATTGAACAGTTGAGGTTTAAAACATTGGATTATCCACAAAGTCACGTCTTTTTAAAGAATCTTCTTCTTGGTTTTAAATAATAGAAAATTCTAAGAAGATACGGGAAATTCTGGGAAAGTCTTAAAACTCATAATTCCCCTCCACCCCCCCGCCCCTGCGATTCACACATCAGTGAAGACACTTGTAGCATGTGAAGACTTTTGTAGCGTGGGGATCTTGGTCTTTCTCAGGAGCACAGTAGGGTGGGGTTGAGGGAGCAACATTAAATGTGGAAATGCCCTGGGTGGTCTTAGGCAGGGCTGTATTGAGGATGTAGGTCCCCGTGCGAATCTGCCTCTGAAGCACAGAACACCCCATCATGGGAGAGCAGAGGCTCTCTCAGTCATCCATTGGGAGGAAGAATTATTTTCTGTGGAGTTCCCCAGAGGTGACCCATGCCAGCTGTTGGGCAGTGAGTAGAGAATTTGGCCCCTAAAGCTGAAAACGTATTTTTGTTCTGAATGAAAGGAAACAAAGTGTTTTGAGGTTTTTAATTTTTGTTTTTGTGGGGTTTTTTTGTTGTTTTGTTTTTTTTTTTTTTTTAAGGCAAAAGTAACTGACTCAAGCTTATAGCTTCAGAAGCTGTGCAGGGCCTATTCATCAGCTGGCAGTACTTTGTGATTTGGGCAGGAACTTCTTGTGTGTAGTGAAAGGCTAATTTTGCTAATGGCAGCATGATCTGCATTAGATCGTCAGTTTGGCAGTAAGTTAGTTCACATGATTTCTAAATGTGCACTAGTTATGAACCAAGTATAAGTTGTACGAGATAAATGCTTTCATTTCCAGTTAATGAGTGTGCCCTATTTGTTGACTGAACATCGGGTTTATTTTTTTATTTTCTCAAATTTGGCAGTTAGCCTATGGTACTGCTACCTTGGCTTGATTCCAGACCAGTGCGAGGTGTTTGCTAGGGCTGTGTGGGGTATGGAGCAATGCCACTGCCTTAAAGGGTTCAGTACGCTGATTGCTTTCTTAACTACCTAAAGGTGGCATGTAAGAAAACAGAACTGTTGTTCCTTTGTAGTGTTTCACAAAATGAAAAAATATTACGAGCAAGTAGCTGATTGAGCTTTTAAACCTTACATTTCACTTGCTAAGATCCTATTTGTTATTCTAATAAAAACTGTACATATTTTACAGTTAATTTAACAGATCGGTTTCTTTTAACCTATTATTTCCTTTAATGGTTTAGATGCTTAATTTAGCTAATCAATACTGAATTCCTACTTGGGCAGTTGAAACTGATACTATAAAAAACTGTACTTGTTTTCCACATGTCATGACATACCACCGCATGGCTGTAGGTGATACTTTTACCTTTTTTGTACAGGTGCTTGCTGAAACGTGTTCATAAAGGAGAATCATTTCTGTAGGGCTTTCCTTCAACTTTCTTGCATTTATCTGTGGAGGTGACTCCATCGCTGTTCTGTCTCTAACTCGTCACTTGCAGTGCCTTCCAGGCTAAGGAACGTTTCACTGGTGGAAATTTCTGCACACAACTGTTTGAGCACTCCAGTAGGCATTAGTTTACTTTTATATCCACAGAATTGATACTTTTTTTTTTAAAAAAAGCTCCTCTGTCATTATCAGATTTAGAATCTGTTCAGTCTTACTTATACTGTCTCATGTGTTGATGCAGCAATGAGATAATTTAGCAATGATACAAATAGGAGAAGTCCTGAGAGCACTGTGGATGAATTGCCTGTAGATTGTGTGTCACTATGATGGATTCTTTTCCACTGTTATACAGGACTGTGCAAAGACTGAGAAAAAGATCTTGGAAGGTCAATGAGATGACTATTTTAGATATCACACAAATTTCGTTCATTTCACATTAAAAGAATTAGATGATTTCTAGGGAATTTAGGTTTCCCTTAGTTTGCTGCTGTGGAACTGTACAGTTGTTAATTTTTTGAAGCTCCTTAATAGGTCTGGCCAGCTTATATATGTTTTCTTTCCCTTTTAGTAACCTTCACTCTCTCTCTCACACCATTTCCCTGACTGTGGCTGAAGTTTTTTTCCTTTGCTGAGAGCTGGTGGTTGTTTGGGTGATAAATGAACATGCCCTCTTTTCAGGAACGCTATTGTTGGTGAGAGTTAAGAAACAGCTTATGGAACCACAAAAGACAGTCTGTAGCTACCCAGCATAAGTGGACCAGTGTTCCCTAGTAGCAAAACCAAAATATTTTTTCATAAATCTTCCTTAGTTCTTTTTCTCTTTGGGGTGAAGTTAAATAGAGATGCCCAGTTGACACCAAGAATATCTGATGTGTTGCAAACAGGAGTTTGAGACAATTCAATTTTGGCCCTTCCTCTTCTTTCAGTGAGGTTATGATGAATGCTCTTTACTTCGTCCACTGAACATGAAGAAGTGGAATCCATTCTGGAGAAGCAGCTTTCTGAAGCTGTGCCTGTGCACAAGAGTCTAGGGGTTCTCACACTACACATTTCCCAATACAGAGGTAGTCCGAAGCAGAATTTTGCTATTAATAAGAAGGTGATAATCTTCATTTAATGTGTTGCCCAAACCAGGCACATCTGTAGCTGGCAATTAGATGTTCATGATTTCTCTGGAACAGCCACACACGCTTCAGCCAGGAGAAGAGATTTCCCGTTTGTTTAGTATTTTCTGTTTCTCAGGGAAAGCATTTTACTTTGTTATTCAGTAGATGGCGGAGGTTTCCACTTTTTGTGACTATAATTCCTTCTGTTGATTTTACCTCTGTATGTTTTCCTAATAACTGGCTTTGCTGTAATCAGTCCTCCAAGTTGTGCTTGGTTGGGACACTCTTATTGACAAGGAGCAATCTGGATGCTCCCAAAGGGAGCACTTTTGATTTTTGAAGTATGTTTCCCTGTTGGTCCAAAACCATCCTCACTTGGTGACTTTCAGTATACATTCCGCAGCCTTATGATTATTCTCAGGATTTTTCATTTGAAGGCATATTTCTAAGTCCATATAATCTATTTAGTTTTTTTTTAAATTTGCATTGAAGGTTTTCAGGTGGGTGATTCGGGAGACTGTGATAGGAACATCATATACTCAAGAACCAGGAGCAATTAACTCCTTTAGTTCACGAACATGCATTTTCATCCATTAAGTAGGAAAAAATGTTTATTATATTTAGTCATACACAGCTACTTCTCTGTTTCTGTTGTGCTGTAAAGGCCACAGAAACTACAACTACTTGTGACAGATTTCAGTCCCTTTGTAGATTTTACCAAAAAAAAAGTGACAACTGTTTTTTCCAAGCTCACTTTTTGGTGTGTCTCTGCTAATAGGTCAAGAACATAACCATTTAATGTTTATCATTTTTAAGCCCATTTAGCAGAATACATAAAACTGCTGGTAATTGTGATACCTGGACAGCAGTTGTCGTCTAATGTAGGCTGCGTGGCCTCATGTTTCTTCTTCCAGCTGTTCTACTCGCTGTGATGCTGTCATAACAGTGTAACATAACTTTGAATTGCTGTCTTCATCTTTGCTCTGATTTGTTTGTTTATAAAGAATGTTTAGAGCCTCAGATTAAATGTAGTATTTGAGTACAGGATGTTTATTATATATGAATGTAACACTACTGTATAGTGAAAATAGGCTTTGGCAAATAGTTTATATTCCATTATCAAACAAAAGCAAACCAGTCTGACAATTAAAACACACAATGTTCAAGGTATATAAAGATAATGGCAGGCGGGTTTTGGTGGCATAAACTTGAAAGTGTATGTCCATAGTTTTGTTATACCTCTGTAGTGCAAGCCCTAAAATTATATTAACATAACCTGAAGGAGGTGATGCTATCTGTGGTATAAACATACTAAAATATTAATGAAAATGAAACATGCAAATACAGCATATTAAATATTAATGCACTTTTAATGTTAATCATGAGTAGAACTCATGTAAATGACTTTTTTTTGGTAATATCTGCAAACTTTAAACTCCATGCCTCTCTTTACATAGGGAAATAAGAACTAACATACACATTGTTTTTTACATAGATTTAGGGGACAGATTTAGATAAATTTTGTTTTTAAAATGCCACTAGTAATCTTGCATTAACTTTTGAGACACCACAGGTTGTTTTTTGGAGTTTCTGAGTATGTCAAATAAATGTCGTTCAAAGCACTTGGGATATTTTGTCTATACGTGTCAGCCAAACTCAGAAGCTAGATTTGCAAACGTTGTATTTCACAGCCTCAGAGGCAGCCAGCATTAGAGAGGGAATTGAAGTCATGGGTATTTGGCTTGGTCCTGTGTTTGGGCCACACCACTGAGTGCAGCTCTGTAAGCAGACTTATTTCTATGAAGTCTGTGACTGAAATCCGTCTCTAAATAGTTTGAAACATGTAGGGCAAAAAAATGCACAACTGTATGAGTGATGCACGTGCCACTATTCTGGGGTGCTGGGGTTGGGATCAGTGGTTCAGGTTGAGCCTGGTTGAATTAAGTACTACCACGCAAAAATTACAGCTATTCTGGTTAAAATTTCTGTAATAAACTCTTTTTTTTTTTTTTTCTTCTTCTTTTTTTTTTTTTTTTGTTCCTTTTTCTACCCACCTCTCCATCAAACAGAAAGAGAATTTGACCCAAATAAACACTGTGGAGTACTGGATCCTGAAACAAAGAAACCTTGCACAAGATCGCTCACCTGCAAGGTATTTTTCTTAGAAGATAAAATATCAGATGCTTTGTTATAGTTTAAATCCTACCACAGTAGTTTGAGAGGTCATACCTGCTCCTGTCTTACAGACAATGGGTATGGTATTCAGACGCTGTCTTCAGGTAATTCTTTTGAGTAATTCTGTTTCTTTGAATCAGAGCATCTGCATTATTCCACTGATACTTCTAAAAAGACTTTTTTTTTCTTGTCATTTTGTTATGCAAAAAGCATTAACGTTTCATGTAGAAGCACAACTGTTATTTTAAATGCTCCTTTTTTGGTTCATGTGTGCAACAATGTTGAAGCATAGTCAATTTTTAGTAAAAAATTAATGTGATTTTTGTATAATAAATTACTTAGAGGCTGCCCTTGTGATAGTAATAAGTCTCATGTCAAAAAGTAGCAGCAATGTAAGATATTTATAATGAACATTTATATGTGTATGTGCTGCCTGTCAGTAGAGATGATCAGTTAAATTTGCTTTAAAACTTATTCAGATTTTTCAATCCAATTAAATCAATATTTCATTGTAAGTTAAGAGCTACAATGATGTTACTTCTTAATATTTTAAAGTCATTGGAATTATATTTTCTGTCTTGGAAAAGGTAAGTCAGTCAATAGACTCTATTATATGAACATTGTTGCAAAAAGTAATTTTAGCGTGGATGTTGGCATTCCTTAAGAATGACTTCATAAATTATCAACGATAATGTGGAATAACAGCTTTATTTCCATAACTGTGGCTAAAGTTGTTTGAAGTAGATTTTATCTTTTAGAGTTGTGGTGTATCGGAAGTATAGAGGACTCATAAACAATGTCATGCACACACAAATGCTTTCTAACCACCCTATTTTTAGACTCATTCACTTAATCATCGACGAGCAGTTCCAGGCCGTAAAAAACAGTTTGACATCCTTCTAGCTGAACACAAAGCTCGATCCAGGGAAAAAGAAGTTGCAAAAGACAAAGAGCATCCACCATCTGCAAGGGAGAGCTATCAGAGCCAGCCCACACCAGCACAAGACTCTCTGTCAGGATCTTCAGTGAACTCTGGGCAAGAATCTAAAGTCACATCTCCTGCAAAATCTAGACCACCAAATTCTGTACTTCCAAGGTAAGCAGTTCTCCAGCATGAAATGTTGCATTCTGAAGGTGCTGTAAGAAACATCTTAGTCTTTCATACAGCTTATTTTGTAAGCGTTCAGTATTCCTTTAGGCGACTGCAAGATAAAACATATTAATATAAGAGTTTCTGCTAGCAGTAGAAAGTAGACTATATTTGTATTAAGCTAAGTCTGTCCATGGTAGCCTGGAAGTGAGGTAAGGAGTGGTGCTCACCCTTGGCTCAGAATCTCAGACTAACTGCATTTTTTGGCTGAAATGATTGGTAATAATTAGGAAAGTTTACATTCAAGTCATTCTGGCACATTTGGGAATGAAAGTCTATTTACATGTATCAGGGCAGGTATCAGTGGTGAAATTCTGCACGTTTATGTAGAATTTTTCTCTGCAAATACTTCAGCAATTACATCAATTGAATGTCTTGTAAAAAAAGGTGTAATTTAGTGTAAATGACAATGCAAGCATCTAGTTCTTAAAACTATGATTTGAAACTGCCCATAGCATGTCTCTCCTCATTTTGAAGATTTTTCTTAGAAAGGATAGTCTTCAGAAAGGCATTGCAAACTTCTAAAGACATCCCTTTAGAAAAACTAGTATGAGGTGTTAGATCTACTGAATTCTAATTATCCTCTAGTAAATTTTCCATATGTTTTGTTTGGGGTTTTTTTGGTACCAGTTTTAGCTGGAGTAGATAGAGCTAAACCAATTGGTTTTGTTAATACTTATTTAGTTTTGTATTTATCTTATTTGCAGATGCCTTGGTGAGGATCGGGTGCCCGTTTTGGGACTATTTTGAAGAGATAGTTGTTGTATTTGCTATCTCAAGTTTTACAGACACATCCATTTCCAGTATTTTCAAGCCATAATGAAATTTTATGCATACAGTGGCAGAGGTGGGCCTTACAGGATTTGAGTGAAAAGACAATGAAAGAATACCCCTAGATAAATTAGTGAGAACTCTGCATGATTCTTGTAAAAGAAGTGACCTTACACAATTCTTACATAGAGGAGCACAGGGGGATGGGCAGACATTCTTTTTAGTAGATGTTACAGTCAAAGAAGCAAAACTAGAATGCGATTCAGTGAGAGTCAGCTGAAGAAATTGCAAATGTAGCGGTACATGAGGAGGAGGATTTTAGCAGTCAGACACTGTGTTTGTACAATCTGCACTCCCGTTTCTGCTGCAGTGCCTCTGTTCTGTCGTCCTGTCTGGTTTTCAAGCAGCTGTGCCAGAGGAGAGCCTTGCTTACCTCTCTGCGGGGAGCCAGCAGGCCTGCAGCGCCGCTGCTGGAAGGGGTTATGTGAGTGCTCCCTGCTCTGCTGAGGCAGAGCTTGCTGGTTTCACCAACGGTGGCTTGGCTTGACCTGGCCGACTTTTCCTCAAGGCTATGGAGAGCTCGCACTCTGCCCCTCGCATCAGCAGCTGCAGCAATTATTTCTGGCTGATGGACACTGGTGAGCAATCCCAGCTCAGTTCAGAAGAGGGCACCTGTCCACAGTCTTAGTGACTGCTGTGTTCTGACAGCATAAATTCATGAGATTGAAGATCATCCTCAGATTTTGCTCGATGCAGACATCTCCTCCAACCTCAGAGGTCTGCAGCCATACTTGGTTGTACGGATTGTAATTGAGAATGCTTCTCCACCCTCGCTTCTAATCTAATTTGTTTCCAAGCTACTTTTGAAAGGCAAGGCACCATCATACCCTGTGGTGCATTCCCACTTTGTTTTATTGGATTTTAGACAAAGGTAAAGAAAACATACATACTGCAAGAGGTCCTCCAAGTTACTTCACTTGATAATCTAGCTGTAGAGGGTGACAACTAAACACTTACTATATTTTACTGTATTTTACTATATTTAGTACATTCATTTCAGTAGGATTTTGGTATGAAAAAAATTTCATAACTGGACCCTTGGGATTAATGAAGTAGCAAAGTAATAGTGCAATGTAAGAAGATTTTATGCATCGGATTTTTGTTTGCATTTTTAATATACTTTGCCTCTCTCAAGGTCTGAAACTCAGCTTCATGGCAAATTTAAAATTTCAGGCAATACAAAGGTCCTTCTGCTAACATTAACTCGATGATAAGCTGCAATATATTTCTGACAAGACCGAATGTCAGCTATTCTATATCTTTTACTGTCCTTCTTTATATGATCATTTCTGGTATAACTTACGTTGATGCCTGACTCCAGCTGGTAGGTTTGCAGAGCCTTTGAACAATGATGATTTAATTGTATATTCTCTTTCTAGACCATCATCTGCAAATAGCATAAACAGCAACAGCTCTTCAAACCACAGTGGGTACATACCAGAACTGCCACTGCCTTCCATGGGAGGAGATTTAACAAGCAGATTGTCCAGTGATGAAGGAGAAGCGGATGGAGCTGAAGAATCTGAGAAATTAGACTGTCATTTTTCTGGACACCATCCCAGACCTCTTGGGGTATGTGTCTGTCTCTGGCATGCCTTGCCATTATTCTTAGGCAATTAGGGAGGGGAGAAAAAAAGAAGTAATTTATTAAAAATGTAAGGAATGAGGACCTTACATTCTGAAAACTGTAGTCTAAAGAGAATAAATGCATTTAACAGAAAATGGTATGGATGGGATAAGGTAGGAGAAGACTGGTCAGTGCATGTGACAAATAGGTTGCAGGACAAGATGAGCAGCAGAAAATCAGAAGTTCTAGTTTTAGATTTTCAGCTCAGTAGACTGCAACTTGGGTGTAATTCTGCTAAACTGAGCAAAGTTGCATTGTTTTAAATGTGACATGAACAGATAATCTCTGTTGTCATAGTTCTTACGAAATGATACCTTGCAGTTGGGTATAGCTCTGAAAATTGTACAGCAGCAAAGGGCTGTTGCAGCGCGTTGTTGATTTTTGTAGTCTGGTTTGAAGCAGTAATTAAATATCATTTATGTGAGTGTATGTGGACTTAGACGAATGAAGCAATAGCTTCTAAAAATGGAAAGTCTAGAGCATGGCATAGCCCATCTGCTCTGGTGGTGGCTTAAGAATGTGCTTCTCTGGCAGCTGTTTTTGTCTTTCTCCTGTGTTAGTGAGAAATTTCATTGGAAGTAGTAAAGAGCTGCATTGTGACATTGTCTCTGCAGTGTGAATTTGTTTGCGCTGTACAAACCAAGAAGCAATGGAAGAATTCTTGAACTTTTAAGCAGTTGGTTCTCATCAAAATTGAGCCAAGGAATAAAATTAATGAAGACTCCACTTACATGTTTTCCATATGATATGCGGAATAAAACAAACACTCCGATAACTGTAGCATTGTCTGTATTCCCTAGAGCAAAGGACAACTTATTACTGTGAGACACCAGGAAAAAGTATGAACTGAACATCAAATGACTGTCAGATTAATTTGGTTCTTACAAGAAAATAAGAATAATTATAGTCCATGCAATACTATGATATGCAGGAACCTCCTGCTTCCTTGGTACTCTTGTATTCTACTTTGGTTTTGTTGACTGCTTCTGTGTGAATTAAACGCCAAAGGCTCACTACATGTGTGACCACACAATTTTAAAAAATAATCTAAGTGCAGCCAGTTCTTGTACAGGCACTGTCAGTGAGGCATGGCTGTCAATAGCCATTTTGGTTTAGGATCCTCGTTCTGTTTCAAGGCAAATCCCACAGGTTCATCTGTTCTTTGAAATCTTAGCACCTCTCAACTGAAGCAGTTAGTGATAGTGCAACTGTTCTTGGTCCATATGAACATGAAGTCAGAAAAGATGGTGTAAATTGCCTTCAGCACAGTTCATGCTAACTTGCTAAATTTCATACTGAAGTGGACTTTCTTTACAAATTCCCTCTCCCGGCTCGGTCATAGGTAGTAATTGATGGGGAAAAGGCAGTAGCTTCTTAATCCACCTCTTAGTGGTAACTGATCTGTGTCACTGGGAGGTGAGGCTAGTTTATCAATTTAGGTGGTTTCATAATGGTTTTCATTAACTTTTTTAACCTTGTCCTGAAACAGACTCAGGATGAACAATTACAGTCACTACTCACTGTCTATTAAGCTAAAATGTACTTTAAATGGATGTTTTTCTACCGCATCAGTAGCTTCTGCTCTCAGACAGAATTTGCATGACTTTGTCCCTGCATGATAAAGAGCTGTCTTGTTTTCTGAGGACAATTTATAACAGGTTTCTCTCCCACAAATAGGTGTTGCAGCAGTTCTCTACGTAATGTGAGATAAGTAAGACTGAACTGAAGAAAGGGTAGATTCCTGATCATACCATTTCAGTGTAGTAGGACTTTTCAGGAAGTTCTCCAGAGGAAGAGGTGCAAATACTCCTGAGCTTTGCATAATTCTCAAAACGTTTACTACTCCTCTAGATGATTTTCATACACTGTGAAGGGTGTATCCAGGGTTCTGTTGTAGTGTAGGTGCCATAGATGAAAATCTATTTTTTTACTGAAATGTCACCGGTTTGTTTGTTTACTAAATAGATACTAAAGATGTTCCCATTACACCTTTTTCCTATTCACTTATCTTTTTATTCCTGTTACACAATTAGAAGATTTAATGTGCACAGAATGGTGTAACTGTCTGTCTGAGGCAGTAAGAGTATTATTAGCCAGAATTGCTTCCTTGACAGTACCTCAGCATTTGTATCTTCCCTGTCACACTTTGTACATGATAGTAAACTGACTTGTTAGTGAAGTATGAAGTATACTTTACACTAAGCTGAAACGTTGTGTATATATTTCATATATCATGCAAAAAGTATTTATTCTGCAGATAGTGAAAAACACCTTTTTAAAGGTGTTTTGTATGCATCATACAAATTACAAAGGTGTTCCTTGATCTATAAATTATTATTATTTTATGACGGAGACATATTTTCTTTATAAACAATGTTGAAATATCTTTTCTTTCAGTTTTGTTCATATGGCAGTCGCTTAATGGGAAGAGGGTACTATGTCTTTGACCGAAGATGGGACCATTTTCGATTCGCACTAAACTCCATGGTAGAAAAACACTTGAACTCACAGATGTGGAAGTAAGTGGGATTTTTACACTTGGTGGGTAGTTCAACATTTTTAATTCTGTAAAACTTCTAAATTAAACACTCCATAGGAAGCATTCGTAAAATTACCTCTGTATTAAGGCATAGCAGTAATACAAATACAAATTGTTTCTTCTCCGTTAAGGAATATGCAGTACAACAGAACAATTTCCTACCGTAATGTAAATTTCTGTCAGATTTAGGACTTTCTTTTAGTCTCCCTGAATCTGAGGAGGAATAATTCAGTAGTTCTGTTAATATGAATTAAAAGCATTAAAGCTCAGTGTGTTCTGGGTTTGGAGATACATTTTGGTATCATACCATTTTATAACACACAGGTTAGATTTGGCCTAGAGTTTTATACCTGTATCATGCACCTATATTGCTCATTCGGACTTTGCTCTGTAAGGCTCGTGTTGTAAGATAAGGAACTCAGTACACATTTGCCTGTGCGTAAGATGGAATATGATAGTTTTTAATCCATAGTGCCGTTACTGGCTTTGGGGTCTTAAAATTCTGATTATTACTCACTATTGGAGCACGTCTATATCTCGTATGCAGGTTGCAAGCAGTGTAGGCCTTGGCTACACAGACAGATTAAAATAGGCTGCACTTCTGAAAAAGATGCAAATTCTTTTTAAAAAACCTAAGTATTTGAAAAGCTCATGGCATCTGCAGACAGGATTGATTTTTGGGGGGGTATTCTGCTACAGGATAATGCATTCTTCTTCCAATGTAATGACACTAAAGTGCAGTGTTTCATATCACTGTTTATTATCAGGACTGTGTTATATTCATTGGATGCCAGCCATTAGATAAACAAGGTTTGATTTTTATTTAAATATATTTTTGAAACACTAAAGCTTGGCTTGTCTGACTAACCTGGTAACTTCATGATAACAGTGCTACTGTGCTGGGAGACATAGTTTGGAAATGATTGGGTTTGCCGTAAAAAGGCCAGTTTCATGTCTGTTTAGATAGATCACGCTTGATCTGCAAGGGGTTCTTCTCTTCTACTTTGTAAATTTGGCTGTTAACTAGTGTCAGTCGCCTTCCACAAATAAAACTGATTTGGTTTCCTTAAATAGAAAGATTAAAACTTGTTATCTATTGGCTTTGTTTGTCAGGAGAAAAGATACTCGGTCATTTGAGAAAATGTGTCACTAGTACCACTACTATCACAAAAAAAAAAAAATAAAAAACAAAAGCCAAAAATAACCTCTACAGTAGTTATATGGTAGAAGAAATAAACAGGCCTCATCTTGCTCCCACTAAATCCAATTGTAAATGTTTTCCCAAATTCTAGCTGTTTATGTAATCTCTAATATTTTAATGAATTCCATCTGTACTTACTGGTCTGTGTAACACAGGAAGCTCACAGTGCTTAACCCCTATTGTATTCTTCTACTGTCCTCAACCCTCCTCTGGACTGATCTTTTCCTGTCTTCCCCAAGCAGGAGCATGTGTAAAGCTGTTATTTTATAACCACTGCTAGGGCAGCTCGGTAGCTGTGGCTCATCCAGCTGAGACAAAAAGTAAAGGGATGCAGGGCCATATTTTGAGAGCAATAAAAACTTTTACAAAGTACTTTTTATCCCTAGTTCTCAAAGCACTTTACAGAGGTGGGTAAGAATGACTGGCCCTCCTTTAAAAATAAACTGAGGAACAGATCTGATAAGCGGCTTTGCGTAGCAAGTCACAGTCAGTAGGACTTCCTCATTTCTGGTGGCATGGACTGTATATAATCCCTTATGTAATTGTGCCATAAACAGTGTTCTGTCTGACAGCCTCCATAGGAAGAATACTGGGAGAGAACACTTGTAATTAGGATTTGATTTATGATAAAACAGCACACCCAGAGCCGCTCTTTTATCATACTTTGAGGGCAAGAATAAGCTTTTAAAAGCTGAAAAGGTGTCAGTAGCGAAGATAACAAGGTCAGAGTTATGGTGATGTACAGCTTCTTAACAAAGAGAAATCGGATAAACTGTGAATTAAATTCTAGTCTAAATAATGAGGAAAGCTCACATGATAATTTACCAAGAAACATTATAGAAGTCTGGTTTTTTAACACTGGACTAGATAAAATAATAGAGGATAATGGCTGAATAGAAAGGAATTTGAATACATTATGCTAATTTCACAGGTAATATTATATTTTATTCTCAGAATAGTATTCAACGAGTTATAAAGCTTATCAAGCATTGTTTAATGTTTTGTCAGTTTTTCAATATCACTGAAATTAATTGATAACTTACCTAGTTAGCCCCATCTAACCAGCTCTCAAACGAGCTGTTGGGAATAGCACTGTATATGGGAAGGGATGAGCTTTCCTCCTTTCCTCTCATCTCAGTGATTAAGTGATTCACAACCCCCAAAACTGGCTCATTTACAACCCTCATCAAATCTAACCTGTGAGTTTAGGTTGATACTGAAACTGTTCCACAACCTGAGCTTTGGAGCAGAACATAGACAGTAAAAGAAACATAGAGACTAGAATGTTTATAGAACCCACCAACAGGCATTTTAATGGCTTTTTTTAATTGTTTGGCAAAATAGGAAAGGAAAAAATGAAATTAAATTTATAATAAAGTTATTAAATTGTAACACTATTCACTTAATTGCTACATGGGGCACTTGAGCTGAAGTGGAGCTTAGTTCTGGTTTAACCGAGTTACACGGTTTAGGGCTCATGTGCCGTGACAGTATTTTATAGGGAAAATTACACCGCATAGTTCTTTACCTAATCATCTCCTGTTAGGTCTCCATTGGCTTCACAGATTTAATGTGCCTCATTTCAAAATTAATTTTTAGGAAAATATACTTCATAATCCAGATTTCCTGAATTTTTACAATATTGAAACACATGTGGTTTGGGTTTGGTTCTTTGTAGTAAATCCCAAAGAACTTCATAATGGTGTTGCAGGATGCAGAGCTGATTTTGAACTGTGAATATTAAAATATATGTGATTGGTAGAATAGGAATCAAAATTAGAATGAACTAGGTTTGCCTTTTTTATTAAGTTGGTCCTGCCCAGAAATTGTTTCCTATCTATGCTGTTGTTATGTATCTAAAGATTGTCTTTTTTTTTTCTTTTTTTCTTTTTTTTTTTCATCTCTATTTAGGAAAATTCCTCCTGCGGCAGATAGTCCCATGCCTTCTCCAGCAGCACATGTCTCCACTCCTTTTCCAGCATCAGTCTTACAGCCTTTCAGCAACCCCAGTGCGGTGTATATTCCTTCAACACCTATCAGTTCAAGAATCACTTCTTCTTCTTACATAATGACATCAGCCATGTTATCAAACGCAGCCTTTGTGACAACGTCCGATACGAATTCCATTATGTCACACACTACAGCTTTTCCTCATGTGGCTGCCAGCCTAAGTATCATGGACTCAACTTTTAAGGCGCCATCAGCTGTGTCACCAGTGCCAGCAGTCATCCCTTCCCCATCCCACAAGCCATCCAAAACAAAAACCAGCAAATCCTCAAAAGTGAAAGACCTGTCATCTCGGAGTGATGAGTCTTCAAGTAACAAAAAGAAAAAGCCGCAGTCTTCGTCATCTTCCTCACTATCTTTGCAGACATCTTCCTCATCTTCATTTTCAGGGTCCCACAAAAAGAACTGTGTCCTGAATCCCAGTTCAACTTTGAACTCCTATCAGGCTACATCTTCCTATAACAGTATGTCTGTGCACAATACAAATAACGGAACAAGCCCACTCAGTGCCAAATCGGAGCCCTCAGGACGGACTTCATTATCAAGTAGTTCAACAGACTCAGTGAAACACATGAGCATGGTAGTAAGCAGTATTGACTCTTCTAATCTGTCTGTATCTTCTCTTGTGCACCACTCAGGGGACCACTCCCTGGGAGCACATAATGCAGTGTCTTCTCTACCCCTTTCTTTTGACAAATCAGAAGGAAAAAAACGTAAAAACTCTAGTTCTAGTAGCAAAGCCTGTAAAATCACTAAAATGCCTGGTATGAATAGTGTTCATAGAAAGAGCACTGCCAACCTTATTTCTGCGGTGCCAGATCCTACAAGCAGCTCCATCTCTCGTCAGGTAAGGGACTCTTCCAGTTATTTTTTTGCAGGTCATGTGTGACTGACTTGAAATATTTCATGCATTCTGAAAAGAAAATACTATCTTTGCTTCTTTCTAGCCTACTTTCTAGGTTAATTCAGAAGCATATTTGTATTTGTTCTGTAGAAAGATGTTTTGAGAGTTAAAAATAATATATATATATATATCTACTTTCTTAAAATATTTTTATGGCATTTTTAATTCAATTAATAAAGTAGCCACTTGTGTATCTGAAAGTAAAATTGAATGTCCAGAATGGTTAAATAATTTTTAGAAATTAATTTTTTATCTTAATTCTCATCTCTCTGAAATAAATTGTGTCATTAAAACGGGAAGATAAGAGTCAGCATTTCTGTTTGTTTCATTTCCCAAACTTGTTGCTGATTCATTTCTTAATGTTATCCAAGTTTCCTCATTTCTCTTATGTAAAACATTTACAACTACCTTTCACCTGGGGAGAGTCTGAGATGCCTGACCTCAGATGCTGTTTCCTGTCTGAAACTGGAAAAATTAAGAAATTAGGATCTTAACCAGATGGCCTTTAATGGACATTTGGGTATCTTTTTTAGTGTGCATGTGTTCAGAGTATTGAAGTCAGTGCAACAGATAAGGTTACACACTCTTAATTCATTGCCACTAGCAATAGAGCTTTGATTTCTCTTCCAGTGGTGCTATATAAGGACAAAACTGTGTGTGAAGTAAAATTTGGTGGAAAAACTGCCAATGCAGTCTTTATAGCGATGGACTGTTTCATTCTGCTACCGTGTCCAGTGCTGTGCAGTGCGCAGAAAACAAAGCCTGGCCCTGGTGTCTGGAAGACAAAGCCATAGAAAATAAAATACCTCAGAAAATCCAGAGAAAGTAGCTTAGGAATTTTTTTTTTCTTTGTGAAACTCTTGTTTCCTAAGGATATTGCACGTAAAATGGAATTTGGAAATGGAGAGGGTAAGATCTTGGCAAGGCATAGGTAATAGCCGAGAGAAATGGAAGAGGAAGAAAGGAATAAATGAATTCTAGAACTGGTATAGGAGACAGAATAAAGGTCTCAAAGAATGGCTTAGCAGGTATATTTTCTCTTTCCTTATTCCAGCAGAGGTGCAACTGAGATTACTTGTTTGGCTTTTAAAAATGGGTAGTGGCATTGTCTTTTAATTTTAAGCCTTTTAAACATGTCCTGCAATCAGAACTAGTCTTTAAGTCACTGAAGTCAGTGGAGGATGCTGTAAATTGTTCATTCTGTCACACATCTGATTTTTGAAATATGTGCGTGCCCAAAAAGATTAAGTTGCCCTGAGATACATGATCTCAAATGAGAAGAAAAAATAAGTACGTATTGTTACCTTGGTACAAACATTGGTAGTAGGAAATGGATTGCATCATCTTCTCACAGTACATAGACTGCATCTGTAGCTAGTGCAGTCTGAGGAAGTCTTATAGATGTAGGCAGGAGGTTCTGGTTTCAAACTCTGACTCCCCTAGTGATTAAATCTGTTCCTGTGGGACGTTCCTCTTCCAGTCTGTGATGTATTTCAGAATGTTGCACAGTAATGGAAGTAAATAAACCACAAAGAATCAATCAGAGGTCTTTTCTGAATGTTTGTAAATATGTAATTCATGCTAATATTTTTTTCCTTAAGTAAAAGGTTAAATATATGTAATGAGTGTAATGATATACAGATTTTTAAACACAGTGGTTTTATATACAAGTACAGGTACATACACATATAGATGTATACGTGTGTGTGTGTATATATATGTAAAAGGTGGTCACGCTTTCCTCTTCTACTGCTGGTCTTTGGAGCTACACTAGAAATCAAAAATAGAAGGTAAAGTGGAGTTGATTATATTTCAGATGTCTGGCTGGCAGCCAATTGTCTTTGTGACAAAGATACCAAATTGTATGCAGTACAAAGTAGACATTTCCCACTGTTTATTTGTGCTATAAATAAATGAAATTTGTACCCACTTAAGCATATGGGTCAAATAATATTACGTATTCTACATGTGAATATTAAAGCTCTGGAGAATACAGTACTTGAAATTGCTTTTGAGCTGTGCTCTTTCAACTTGCTGTGTTCTAGAAATGCAATCACAGTAAAAATTCCACCAAAAAATCAGTGTTACTTACAATCTTCTTCCTGTTCCCTGATGTAATAGGGCAAATTAAATTAAGAGACTAAGAATACAGAAAAAAGGATGATGTGACTGGTGGTAGGCTCAGGGTTGGTTGGTTTTCTTAATTCAATTCAAGCCTGGCCTGGATAGATAGTAACTGAAAGTGTTAACGATTGGGTTCTGAAATATACTTTATTTTTAAAAAATTAAAAAAAAAAAAAAAAAGTATTTGAGTCTTGGCCTCACCCTAATCCTTTTGAAATGGTGTTCCCATCATTAAAGACCCAACACAAATGGGAATCTTTCGTACTTCCGCTGAGTGCTGTGACTGCTCAGTCGGTCGGAGTTACCCCCTGTCCTGGAGCGCGGCCCCTCCGGCTCTCAGTGAAGGGGTGGAAAAGCGGCTCAAAGCCGACCACGGTGCTGCAAGCTGTGTCGCTCCTTGCTTTGTCTGATGTAGCGAGCCTGTTAGTCTCAGGAGCACTGAATGAATGTAAGCCTGATGAGGTGTAATATTCCCTCTCATGATTCTAGGATCTCAGCAAGTTGATTTCCTAGTGGGTGTTTTTCCATTTTCAAAGATGGACATGTATTTTATTATGGAAGGGTTTTGTGAGTGTTACAGTGGTGGATGTAGAGAAGAAAGGTTTGCAGGTGTGTCATGATGTTCTGAATGGCAAGGAAAGATTTTACAAGGTTGTGTATCTTTAGTCAAGATTTGTATATTGAAGAAAAGCACATTACTACCTGGAGAGCAGCTATAGCATGCAAAACACCACGCTAAAGGGAGCAGGATAGGCAGAGGCCTTCCCTTTTAGACTTTGTGCACCACAGGACCTGCCTTCAGAAGTGGGTGTAAATAAAAACTTAAAACATTTCTTCTGGATAGAATGTGAACAGAGAAACAGAGAATGCTGTTTTGAACAGTCACTGTGTGAGAAAGGGCAGATATGGAGGAGGAGATAAAGGTTACCACCTTTCACTGTATACGTGAAAGGGCAAAATGACAAATGATGTTGCAGAAGGGAATGAGCAAATTGACTTTGGTGAGAACCTTGCCAGCCAAAGCCACAGTCCCATCTATTCCGTAAGAAACTTGCAACTGCATTTCTCACTGTTTAGAAGACAGGTCCTTGCTACCTCTCCATCAAATGATTAAAATTGACGTTACTTGAAGCCCTTTGACCCTGTGGATAACTATTCAAGCTCCAGTCATCTGCCATTTGTAGGCAGGTGTCCATGGTTCATTTTTATCAGCCTTGTAACCCCTGAAGAACTACTCCTCTGACTCACCAGCTGTCTCCCCTTTTGTACTGCAACAGAAATATCTCCACTATGTTTATGGGTCATTGTAGAAAACCTAAAACAGACTGCTCTTGCAGAGCGCTGTAATCCCTCAAGCATTGAAATATGCAGATTGAATATTGCAACATTTTAACTAAGTACTTTTAAAAATGTACGTATGTGTACTATCAGTTTGCACTTCCAAAGAAATTCTCTGATGCAGTAAAATGATAGAACTGTAAATTTAAACCTCCGGAAATCGATCCTTCTGGTTAATAATTGCTTTATTGAGCAATAATAAAAGATGACATTATATGGGAGAAAATGGAATAATTTAGGGCACGCTATGGTGCTTGGCTTTAACTCCCAGGAGTGGGGAGGGTCCCCTGGGGAGGAGTCTGTGGCCTTGAGCACTCGATGCACTCTCGGTTGCTGCCTAGCTTCACTAGATGACTCCGGTAACTAGAGAAACTAGTATTTCAGTCTAGAAAAGTGGGAGTTTACAATCTGTATTCCCTCGGTAACTGTTTCTTATGTTGTTTTCTGACCTGTAATAGTATTTATGTGCCTTTTACAAGTTTAATTAAAGTGTGCAGGCTCTGAGAGAGAATTATGATTCTATCTGAAGTGTATCTTTTGCAATAGCAAAATACCTGTGTTCCAAATGCAAGGCAATTAGTGCCACTTTACACAGGAAAGGGAAGGCCATTACCAGCATCTGCATTCAGCTGACAAATATGCCTCTCAATACTGCTCAATTAATGTCTTTCAGATTGGAAAAAATAGCAGTGTAGCTTTGTCACAATCCAGTCCTTCGAGTACATCAAACCCAGTACACAACAGACAAGTAAGTTGCTTTAAAAAAAAGAGTGTACTTAAGTAGTCTCTAAGTGGTTATGAAATATTTTATACTGTAAAACCTTAAAATACAATTTCTTTATGAATACAGTTCTTTATAGAAGCTGTCTTTTGGTGAACTAATATTAGATTTCTCCTCTCACTTAATTTTTTTTCCAGCTATTTTCTTTTCTGAGATTGCTGAACAACAAGTTTTTGGTTTGTTTTTCACCACCTGTAATATGCCTCAGGTTGGTTTATGTGCTGCTCACTGGCTGTTGCTTTGGTGATACAAACTCAGCAGCAGCAGAAACTGTGCAGGATCCAGCTAAGCTGATGTGGTTTTTCCATCCAACTTCCCGTGCTGAGCAAGATGGCACAGCAGAGTCCCCAAACTGGCACAGGAGGGACAGCATTTAAAAATAGGCCAGAAATGAAAGCAGCAAAGGGAGGACAGATACAGGACAGAGGAGACTGTTCAGAGAAACTAATCTGAAAGCATAACTAAACTAAGCATAATCTGAGTTCTTAGACTGTGAGAAATCCTTAGTGTTCCCACCATACCTGTTTATCACACAGGCTACTAGTCAGATAATTATAAGAAATTCTGTAACTCAGATTTTTTCATGAGGACAAGTACTTGACCTGTAACCTAGCCCTCATCTGTCTGGAGGACTGATAGACTAGTTTATTTTTTGAATATGGCCCTTGCTGTTTGACTCTCCAAATTGAGTAGTTCACCAAGAATTAACTACCAAGATCCTTGGTATGAAAAGGTTTCCCACCTCAGCAAGGTATAGTCACAAGTGAACAAAAATTCCAGAGGATTTTTGTGTACAACCAGTCAATATTTTAGAATTCTGTTACGTATTCTGGCTAAATTATACAGGAGTAGTTATTCCAAATGACTGTGCTGCTTAGTTCCTGCTGTGTAGACACAGCAAAAGAATAGTAATGATTGTAGTCATGATAACCCACAACTGTATCCCCATTAAAAATATTCTGAATCACATCTTGAGATGAACTGCCAAACAGTAAATTTAATATTTTTTTCCTCTTGGTGGTGAATGCAAAGCAGTGTATGTACAGAAGAACTAATCTGAAGGGAAGAAAGTGGAAAGTTTCTTTACACTTCTAGGGCACAGTGGCATTTTCCTGTGTGAGACACTGTCATGCAACTGCCAGTAACAACCATGGGATAAAGCTGCTCTGAAGTGCAAAACTGTTTTTGCTTTAACCTCCTGCTCCTGTGTATAAAATACACACTACCCGAGGAGCAGAACTTGCTGGGATCTGTTGCCTAGATCCCGTGGGGAAAACCTGACAGTACAAAACATTAATTTTGTGGCAGCCTTATGTAAACAGAGGCTATTGCCGAGTTTTTCAGCTGCCTGTTGCTGTAACTTTATCAAAAATAGAAGTGTTTGCTTGTTTTAAGCCCCACAAACTCTTTATTGTTAACAATATGTTTCTGTCATTTTGGTAGTTGAATATGGATCTCAGAATACAAATATAAAAGAAAATCAAGATGTATTGTGTTTTAGTAAGCCTTTTTTTTTTTTTTTTTTTTTTTTAAAACACTAACACAGGATTTTAGTATTTGGAACCATGAATAATGATTACCTATCTAATAAATGCTTGTCACTGTCAAAGTAAATCTGAGCTGCTTTGTTGACAGCTTTCATCTCCAATCTAGCAACTGAATAGTCTCTAAAAAAAGTTTTAGTCTTAAACTGTGCCATAATATTTCTTTATAAAAGGTGTTATTAATGAGGTAACAATAAGTGGATCTGCAAGCACATGCTCTGACAGTAAAGATATTACTGAGGGAACCTGAGTGCTCATGTTTTTAATGTTAGTGTTGTAACTGTGGTAATCAGAGAGCCCAAGTGAAGCAAGGTCTGTAGGCAGAGACAATCTCAGCTGTACACCAGGGTTTATAGTTGGAAAAATCAGGCAAGTTTTCACGAATGCAAGTCAGAACAACAGCCTTTTAACAGTGCAGTTTGAAGTAGAATTGTGGCTGTCAAGCTAAATGTGCATATAGGGCAGCTGCTCTGGGCTGCCTCCACTGCGTCACCCGGCCAGCCAGCCTGTCGGGGTTGTCTGCTGGTGCGGAGGGGTGTTGGAAGGGAGAAGATTGTTGTTTCTCGAGAGAAGGGAGAGGGTTCCTTAACGCGGGTTTGAGTGCCTGGGTGAGGAGGAGGCACTCGGGAATTGCGGCAGGCTGTACAGCCGGTCTCGTTTGAGCCTGGGATCGCCTGCGCCCAGTCCCACCGCGAGCGCTCGCTTCCCCGCTCGTGTCCCGTGTGAACGTCGCCCGCCACCGGTAACCGGGCGTTCCTCCTTATTGAGTTGGGAGATAACGGTGCCCCGTGGCTGTTTTGATTTCACCCAAGTGGTTGGTTTCGGTCATTTGCTACATTGGTTGAAGTGCACTGTACTGCGAGGTTCTCCGGGGAGCTGTGAGGATAACTGCTGGGGGCCTCTCTGCTCGCTCCCATCGCATTAAACTCAGTCAGGTTAAACTCAAATGAATTGTTCTCAATTGATGTTTAATTTGAATGCTGCTGCATCTGTCTGAGACCTGAACAGAGGCTTATATACGTAAAAGTGTGCTTGGTTTTCCAACTGTTGTTGCTTTAATTAAAAAAACACTACTTTTCCCTATAAAAAACTACTTGGTTTTAACAAACATTAATGGAATTGTAGTTTTACAGTCAAATTATCTGTGCCTGTTAATACAAATCATGCATTAAAAGCTTGTTTTCTCCAGGTTTTATCCTTGTTCTAGCTCTGTAACTAATCAAGTGTTTTTGTCTTCATAGTGCTTTTAGGTGCCTGAATGTGTTAACACTTCAAGACCTCAGTATGTGGTGGTTTTTAAATACTGAGTAGATCATTTTATTAAGGGAAGGTGACAACATGTATGCTGTGTGGGGATTCCTTGTGCACGGAAACATGCTGTGTAGAGGAAAAGATTCTTCAGAGTTGTCATCTAATTGCTGCTCTTTGTTTGTAATGATACACCAAGTAAATGAACATGAGATTCACCAAAGCTTACTGAAGTCAGACAGTCCCAAAAGGAAATAAGCTGTTCCTTTTCTTAAAGGTCTAATGTAATCAGTAAACAGGGAGGGAATTTAGTTCAGGCACTTGAAATAAATTCCTGCTTTGAGTTCTGTCAGACACAGATGTTATTAAAGTATTATATACGGAAAGACATTTTGTGATTTTGAACCTGGTTCTGGTTTCTCTTTTAGAAGACATCAAACCGGACTGGTAGAATAAGGACTCTTCCATAACAAGGAAAAGGAACCAGCCTATAATCTCTAGCTCTCAGCAGCCCTACTCCACAGGGTTTTTCTTTTCTATGTCCTGCAGATGGATTTAACCTTTTATGAATTTGTGGTTTTAAAGAGAATTAAATTTACAGAAAACTGTAATAGTGATTTGTTTAGTTTTTCACTTGTATTTGCCACTGATCTGTGCATTCTGCTTGGTTATGTTTCATGCCTTTTAAAGCTGTTAGCGTTGCAATGCTCCCTTTGTTTCCTTACCAGAACACAGTGGACATTCCAAAAAAAATCAGATCATGATTTGAATTTATTTAAAAGATCTCCAAATTTTTTCATTAAATAAAAATTACAGTAATTCTGTATTTAAGCTTGTCCTATGGATAAAAATTGAGTGCATTTCTTAGTAATTTGCAAACAGCTGGGGCACTGCAACTTTAGGGACTAATCCTGACTGGTGCTCTGTACCTACAGCATTTAATAATTTCAGTGGGAATTCTGAGTGTTCAGCCTCTTCCAGGATCGGGCTCTTAAGGAATCTATACTTCAATCAATGCATAGCGGATTTTTGCACCAAACTGTAATTAATGTTATCAGGGGCTCAGCCTGTAAAATCCCCCTGTCTTGGTGGATTTCTAGACCCTTAAGATCATCATGCTTGGTAACTTCAGTAAACAGTTTGGGTTTGCAAGGACAGGAGTTAAGCAGATTGGCTTGCATTAATAGAATTGCACTGACAGTGTTTCTTATAGGATTACTGAATAATTTTTTAATAAAAATATAGATTTTATAATCAGGAAGCCAATACTAGGTACTGAAACAATAGTACAGAGGAGTTAATTTTTATTTCTACAGTGTTAAAAGTGCACTTATATGCTGGTTTATTTACATCAAGGGGAAAGGCGAGAGACTGCAAATAGGGAGATTATTACTACTTTCTTTTTTAAAAAAAGAAGGCTTAAGGCAAATTTTAAGACTAAAAATGTTTAAGCAATTATAAACAAGGCTAGACCCTTTGAAAAAAGTTTAGAAATATTCTTAAAATAAATTTTTATAGTGTTAATTTTGTAATAATTTATGTTTTGCTATACTTCAGAGCTAACTGACCGGTATAGTTTCAGAAACAGTATGAAACTTAGGAAAGTTTAAGCAATGTTTATATTTTTAAAATGTTCTTTGAATTATGTTTTTATTGTACATTTCTTCAGACTGAAAAATGTGTACATATCTTTGTTATTTTTGCACAATTTTTGTCTTGTTTAGTTTTAGGAACAGTACTATGTTGATTTTTTTTTTTTTTAATTTATTTTGAGTTATAAAACTGCAGGAGTTTAAAAATCTCAGTAACAAAGTCATCCCCTGTAATCAATGAACTGCTATTTCTAGTTGTTGAGGGAAAACAGTGGTTGTGAGATTCAGTGGTTGCTTCTGAGAAATAATGCTAATCAGTGACTGAAGGAGCAATTTTGTAGTTTTAGGAAGCTTTAGCTCTTTCCATGCATCTTTTAATTGGAAAGCTGGAATATGGAGCCTGTCCTTTGAATGCTGCTTAATTTTTTTTTCCAACTGGCTTACACCTGACAGCATTTCAGGAAAGTTAAGCACGCAGTGAAATCCCACAGTGTTCTTCATCGTCAAAGAATCATCATTTAATTATATGTATCGAAAATTTCAGCCTGGAAAGTGAAATGGACGTAAACATTTGAAAAAAATGGATACAAACTGGACCAGCCTATAATGCATTATTAGTGTAGCATTCACCTAGTAGTTCTTTTTTTCCCCATTTGCCTGAAAATCTTGTGATTTGTTTCCAGCAATAGAGGCTCAGAAGCTTTGGTTGTTACACATACGCAATGCATAGGCCCGTCAGCCATAAAAAGCGACTTGGATAACTTGTATGCCTTCTTTTGTATTGATGTAACAATTGTAAATAGTGCTGATCGACCTTTGTAGAGAATAGTTTATACAGCATATTCTATTATTGCTGATTCTCAGTGAACTATTGTTTTAAAAAAAAAGAAGAAAAAAAGAAATTTTTCTATTTACACCTTATATTTTGTTATGCTGTTGACCCATGGCACTTTAACAAAACTCTGTGGGTTTTGCATAGCTGGTCAGTCATGGGATATATTAAATAACTGTTGTTGCACAGAAATGAATTTGCACCTGCTATATTGTGCTTTCCTACTACAGATTTTAGAACCTTTTCCAGAAGACTTTTGAAGAAAGCATGTCCAATCATTCTAAGAAAAAAAAAATGCCATACTTGTACAGCCAATTTCTTTTCTACAATCCATATTTTGTAACACTAAGTATTTTCATTCTTTGTCCTGCACCTTTATGTATTAGCAGTATCAAATAGAATTCATTCCATGCTTGTGATAATTGTAAGCAGAATAAATGTCTAAAGTAGGTGTAAATAGTAAATTCTATGGCTTACAGTTTAAAAAAGGAAAAACAGAACAAACATGTATCTGATTGATACTGCCATGGTTCAACACCGGGCCTGGAGATATTCTCTAGTGAGCGATTGTATTTTTTGTTTTTTGCTTTATTATTATTTTTTTTTTGTAACATGGCTTTGTAAATAAAATAATTTATATGTTTGTAAGAAACAGATGGGTTTTGTCATTATTTATCTTTGCAAAGCAAAAATGGTATGTATTGCAAGTCTGCCCTTTTTCTTCCCAGAGGCTGAAATACGCCGTGCAGATAGCACTGAGAACTCGACTGGTAGTTCAAAAATATCTGCCCGGCTCTCTGTACAGGGCTGAATTGCTCTGGGATTATTTTTGGCATTCGTGTCTAAAATATTTTTGTATTTACATGTCAGGACATGTGTGATGATCAGCTACTGAGGTTTTTGCACTGATAAATCATTTTTAAATTCATGTGCTTAGCTGAATGCATTTTCTCATTCCTTATCAGTATAAGAATTAACTTTGCTACAGCTGCTAGATTAAGGAATTCTCACTTCAGTGGGCAGTACAAATTTATAACCAGTCTTTTTATCATTGTTAATACTAAAAATGCAACTTTCATCTGGGCATTAAGATTCTTGTTCTTTGTAAAGCCTGTTCCAATTACAGATCAAATGAGACTTAAATTGTTCATTGGTTTGTCAGCTCTGCGGAGAGGATTGCAGTTTTTTCTCTCGCAGCAAACCTCTTCTGCAAATCTGGGGAAGATGTACATTTTTATTCTCCTTTTATGAAGTATCTGGAAACACAGTTGTGGAGACACTGTAGGGAAGATGCTCACAATTATGGTATGATCTTTTTTAAAAGCAAGAAATCTGGACTGCAAACTGCATTTTTGTATGCATACACTCAGAACTGGCAGAGGAGATAGAAAGCTCGCCTGCGTTACAGGAAACAGTAATCGAAGGAGGAAAATTTTAACTTCTAGGTAAACAGCTTTTTGTGTAATGACCAGCATGTTCTGATACCTGTCACAAAAGCTAATCCTGAACTTCCTCTTTACTGTCCAACTTGTGCTTGGTCTGAGCTGCTTATATTTTGAAGACTTTTTTTTTTAATCTTGAGTTTATTTTTTCCAGTATAGAAAAAATAAACATCATGAAGTAACAGTAAATATTGATGCTTCATCTGATAAAGTGGTCCCCGTGTATGGCTGAAGAGTGACACTGTGTTTGTAAGATGTTTTGCCATTTCTGGCAGCCATCAGAAATTAAAGCTACAGCCAAGAAAATGGAGTGTTACAGCCCTGAGTTACTAGTTGCTTGCCATCATTGCCCATGGCCAGCAAAGGCCAAAGACCACTGAATTTATTTTCCAAATGTGAATCTGAGTAATTGTTTAGCACTTGCAGGTTCATTAGGATGATTTACAAGCTGTTCTCTATTTAGAGTTGGTTTCCCCCACACTTTTTTTGGTTACACAACAAGTATTTTGCTTGTAGCAGTACTTTTTTGCTTGTATTATCTAACATGCTCTAAATACCACCAGTTTCATGGGGAAGCAGATCACACTGTAACTTCTTTATTCACTGCACTCTAGTTTTCATGCTTCTGTTTTTACCACAGAACTATTTATTTTAGAAGAAAGTCATTGCTGTGTGCAACCAGTATCTGTTTTATTCTTCCAAATCTGTCAGAATTCACAATTGGAAAAAATGCCAAATGCTGATTCCAGAAATATTTGGAGGAGTTTCATACAACAGATTCAGACTTCAGAACACAAGAATGTTTATTTCATGCAAATTTTTATGCTGTTTTGCTCCTTGAGTACCTCTTGAAAGCTACTACTCAAAACAAGTACAGGCCTCTTTTAAAACATGCTTTCCAAAGTAGAAGAAAGATAAAGCTGATAATTCAGCAGCAGGTCCCTGTTTGCCTTTCAGCGGGAGAATCCATGGTAGATGGTATACATACTCTCATTCTCATTTTGTAATGCATCACAAATGACATGGGCCAAATTCTTTTGTGTGTGGTTTTTTGATTTTTTTATGGCTGACCTGCAGAAATACTTAGAACTAGTCTGTGATCTGCTCTCCCTGCAGAAGGGAGAAGGAAAGCTTTAGGGATGCTTCTCTTGTTTAGGTGGAGCTTACCAGAAATAACAATCGCAATCCAGGACAACTTGATTTGAGGGTAAGGACACCAGTAGGGATTCAAGATGGTGCACAATGTTCAGTTGCCCCTTTGCACATTTCCCAAACCTGAAAGATTTAGCTCTGAAATTGAATCTGGGTTTGACTAACTTGGAGCAGTTACTAACGTGGTTATGTGACACCACAAGAGCCTAGTTTTTCAGAAAAGTTGTCTAGCGTGAACAAAGTCTATGTACAGAATACTACAGGTGTAAATACAGTGAATGGCCTGATGAATTCAGGAGTGCAACCCTGCGAGTCCTGTGTCTGCGTCAGCTGATCTCCAGCCTGGCCCACACTGAGGCAGAGGAGGAAATGGTGACAGAGTAAGCATCACTGCAGCAGAGAAACCATCATCCCTTCCCAGTGGCAAATTTACTCAGTCCTGATTTGGAAAGCTGTGTCACAGGTGAGAAGACAGCTCACTGGAAAAGGATTACTTGGGCTCAACCCTTTAGCCTTTACCACTACAGATGCAGAATACACAGGCCTGTCACATTAATTCTGAATTCAAGACCCTACACGAAAAACTTGCCCATCTGGTCAGCTCCACTCTTAAGTTGCAACTATTTGCCTGCCTTTTTCTTTAGTTTTCTCTTATTTTGACCCATAATCAGTGGGGGGTTTTGTGGTGTATTGTTTTGGTTTGGGGGGAGGGGAGGAGAGGCTAGGGAGGTGGTGGTTGTTGTTTGGGTGGGGTTTTTTAATCTTGTCTTGAGTTACTCCTTCCTTGTTAATTCCCTTTAGGATTTTGGTATGAACCACAGCCTGAAAAGTAATGCCAACACACCAGGCTTGCTGCTTCATTATCAAGGAGACACCAAGAAAGTGCAGAAAGCTGGTTTTCACTTGTGTTATTTTGCAGAGTGCTGCCAAGGCCTGCAGCTTCACCCCCTGAGCATGGATGCTTCTGAAAAAAAAACATTCCAAGGGAAATGCTCCATTTGTGCTCCAAGCGAAGTGCATGTTTGCTCCTTGTGGTTTCAGCTCAGAGGGCAACTGAGCACTACACAGCTGCTCACATCTCCCCTTCCCCCCCAGCACTGAGGAGAAAATAAGCAAAGGCTTGGGATTCAAGATAGGACAGGAATGGATGAATCACCCATTATGGTCATGGGCAAAAGACAGATTTGTTAGGGGAAGAAAAAAGAACATAAATTTAATACAGACCCTAAAACCAACCCCAACACTTGACAGCAGTGAGAAGCATTACCACATCTTGAAAACACCTTCCCCGACTCTTCACTTCTTCCCAGGCTCAGCTCTGCTCCCGAGATCTTTACCTCTCCGTTGCAGCGGCACAGGGGCAGGGAGTGGGGGGGTGCAGTCAGTGCTGCCGCCTCTTCCATCTCGGGGAAGGGGGGATCTTCTGCAACGTCCCCCTGTTCCAGTGTGGTCCCCCTCTCACAGGAAACAGTCCTCCACAGAATTCCTCTGACTTGAGTCCCTCCAATGGGCTGCAGCCCTTCCCAAGTTGCTCCAGCATAGGACACCCCCACATGCTGCAATCCTCCCAGTGCTGAACTGCAACAGTGGGGGCTCTTTCTTCCTACAGGATCCCGGCCTGTGAGCAACCACTCACACTGACATTCACCTTCACCAGATGTTGATGCATCCAGAAGTGTTGGACTTGGTAGAGCAATGATGACATCAGGAAGTGCTCCAAGACTTCTTCCTGGTAAACTGTGCTTTTACAGGGTATTGACTGAAGAGACCACTATTAGAATAGCTGTGTGGACTTACGGTCAAATACGGGAAAAATCAGAGGTTACTCATCGGTAACGCGTGTCTTTGGAGATGCATAATCCACACTTACTTTTGCTTCCAAACCTCATGCCCAGCCTTTCTGTTGTTCCAAATGTCACTTTTTGGACTGTGGAGGGGTTCAGAGAAACTAAGGCAATGGAGATGGATCCACCACCCTGTGTAGTGTGTACTCACTCTACAGATACTGCTGGAATAAAAGCACCTGTGGTCTTAAGAGCTATGGGCTCAGAGCCACACTTAAACAGACAAATATATATCTCAAAGAATGAAGGCTCCTGCCAAGTAACTTCTTTTTTCCCCTTTGCCTTCAGCAAGAGTCCCACCGTAGTTCTAGGAAATCAATTTATTGGGTTTTCAGTCAGCTGGGAAGTGGCCAGTTCTGTAAGAGAGCTAAGTCTCCTGATATTACACTAGCTTTTTTGTGACCTATTTTTACTTCTCTTTGACTTGGAAACAGTAACTGGAAGTATTTTTCTAATTCCTGATATTTAATTTTTCCTAGTATATGATTTTTGATGGCAGGTTTAGTCTTTATTTTGCAGGTAACTGGAAAAAAACAAACAAAAATTCTCAGCTTAGCCTCACGACTGCAGGCTCTTGTTCTTGTGGAGGGGATTGGGATGGCAACACAATGGAGGCCCAAGTGATCCAGGCTACTTCTGTAGTACATCAAGGACAATTTCTTGACAGAAGTGCTCAACAAGCTGAGTCTGGCTATGCTAGACATGCTACTCTCACATAAGGAAGGGCTGGCTGGGAACACTGACATTGGTGTCAGCCTTGGCAGCAGTGAGTATGAGATAGCAAAGCTTATGATTCTGAGGGAAGCAAGGCAGATAAATAGTTGAATTGCAACCCTTGAATTTAGGAGAACAGACTTTGTCTCCTGCAGACATTTTGTTGGCAGACTCCCACAGAAGACTGCCCTGAAGTGCCCAGGGCAGCTAGCTGAAGCACAAGGACAGTAGTCCATTCTGATATGCAGGGAGAAGGCCAGCATGGCTGAGTGAGGAACTCCTGACTGAAATCAAATCCAAAAGGCAATAGTATAGACTGTGGAATCAGGGATGGGCTACCCTGCAGGAATACAGAAATGCTGCTCAGGCATGCTGAAGCAGAACTAGGAAAGCCAAAGCTCAGCTGGAGTTGGAATTAGTGAGAGATGCGAAGGATACTTTCTGTACATTAACATGGAAAGAAGGCTAAGTAAAATGCCGGCCCCACTATGTGGGACGGGTATTCTAGTGACAAAGGACATGGAAATGACTGAGGTACACTTGGTGCTGCCTTTGCTTCAGGTTTTAACTGGAGATGTCTGTACTCAGATCTTCAGGCCGAGTCTGGGGAGTGAGGTACTACGCACATAAGAGGAAGCTTGAGTTAAGGACTACTTATCCTGGATCTATACCAGTATGGGAAAAGCTGGGCTCTGTTCAAGGATACAGGCTGATATCATTACAACGCTGCTGTCAACCTTGAAAGATCACGGTGAACAGGGTACAGGGTTTCTAAAGACAGGAAGAAGGCAAATACAATGTCCATTTTCAAGAAAGATCCAGAAAACTACAGGCTGCTCAACCCAACTTCAACCTCAGGCAGATTATGGAACAAACTGTCTTAGAAGCCATGTCTAGACAAAGTGGATTTACCAAGGGGAATCTATGCCTGATCAGCCTGCTTGCCTTCTGTGATGAAATGACTGCCTACAGGTACTGACCAGAGAGCAATGAATGCTGTTTACTTTGGCCTTAGCAAGGCTTTTGACACCATCTGCTTTTGCATTCAAAGCATGGACTACAAGGTGGGTGGAAAATCAGCTCAACAGCAGGTCTCAGAGGGCTGAGGTCAGATGCTTGAGGTCTGGTTGGTTGGTTGATACTAGTAACATGTCTCAGGGGTTAATACTGGGCCAAATAATGCTGAAGGGTTTCACTACCATGCTGGATGTTGGGATGGGTTGCAGATTCATGGATCACAACAAATTGGGGGTGGGGAGGCAATTGATACAGTAGGAGCAGGGCTGTCCTTCAGAGGGAGCTCAACACGCTAGAAAATTGGTCTGCGAGGAACTTCATTAGGTTCATTAAAGACAAATGCAGTGTCCTACACCTGGGAGGGAGGCATAACCTCATGTCATTCAACAAGCAGGGTGCTGACTGGCAAGAAAGCATCTTTGCAGGAAAAGGGCGGGTGGACAAGCTGAAGGTGAGTGAGTAAGGGGCCCCTGGGGTGCTGAAAGCTAACCACAGCCTGAGCCACAGCAGTTAGAGGACAGTAACTGTCATCCTCGGTTTTGGCACTCATGAGACTGCTTCTACAGAACCATGCCCAGTTTGGGCCTCCACTGTACGAGACACATCATGAATACTGAGGTGAGTCCAGTGGAGTACTACCTAGATGATTAGTAGCTGAAGCAAATGATGTATAAGGATATGCTAAAAAAAAAATGTTTTGCTGTTTTAAGACAAGAAGATTAAGGAGTCTGAGCACTGTCTTTAGCTACAAGATGGGTGATTGTAGAAAAGATGGAGCCAGACTCTTCCTGGTGGTGTACAACAAAATGGCAAGAAGCAACAGACATAAGGCAGAGCAAGGGGAATTCTTCTTAGCCACAAGGCAAAAATTCTTTGCAATGTAGTTGAGCACTAGAACAGGAACCAAACAATGCTGTGGAATCTCTGTCTTGGAGGTAGTAAAAACTTGAGAAGATTGTGAAACACCTGATCTCAACTTTGAAATTAGCCGTTTGAGGAGAGAGGGGGGTTGACCACATGATCGCCAGACATTCATTCCAACCTAAATTATTCTGTTGTTCTATAAAGTAAAAAAAGAAAAAAAAAAAAAAAAAAAAAGGGTTCTGGCCATTGAGATAATTAATATACAGAAGCTTAACGTTTCTGCTGCTAAGCACTTTGCACTTTCCCTTATAAATGTACAGTGTTAAATTCCCTGGCGAGGAACTCACCTGTATCTTGGAAGTCCTTGAGGATACAAAATAGAAGGGTGAAGTGGAGCTCTTCCAAAACAGCTATAGAAATGGCCAGATGCAATCCCTACAGCTCCACTTTGTGCTCCCTAACAGAGAGCGCTTTCTAACGTCCATGTTGAGGAGAAGCAGAGGCAGATAAAATATTAAAGGAGCTACTACTCAACACGTTAACCGTAAGTGTATGGCAGACCTAGGAATCTTTCCCAGCCCTTATTGCTCCTGTCTTTTCCCACAGCCCTAGACTTTAGTCTTCTAACTAAAACTTCCCTTTGGAAGAAGATGTCCATCTGCCTGTTTTCCTCGGCAAGACAAATGCTTGTTCTGCAGCCAGCTTCATCTCTGACCTGCAGTCCCTCTTCCTCTTCATTACAACGCTTAAGACTCCTGGTATTCAGTCCTATGTAATTAGATAAAAGACTTAAGTTACTAATGATATTCTGCAAAAGGCTCAGCTTCTGTCACAACAGGTATTAAATCTTTCAGCCAAATTCCATTTGTATAACCAGGGCACTTTAAACACATGAAATTAGATTTGATCCCTTAGTTCTTGATTAAAACTCAGTTAGAAGCATCTCTGTAATGGAACCAGAAAACTTTCAGATGTTTCTCAAATCCTGTTTTCTCAGTCACCAGAAGTTCAATTTCTCTTACAACAGTCCATGTGAGTTTCTCATCAATTGTCCTAAACTATCATACTTTTAGGACTTATACATACAACTGATACTATCATCAAATGAACTGAGGATAATAATTTATTATTTCAATAATAAATAACATGATGCATTATCAGAATGTTTTTTTCAAGGACATAAATTGTGCTTTCTTTAACACCGAAGTAGAATTTAAAAAAAAAATATTCCTAGTTGTCAATCAAATTGGGGATTGCTCTACTTAGTGATTTTTTTGAACCATTCCTCAGAGATACACACTTCAATCTATAATTCCTGTGTTTACTCTTAAAATTTCATCCTTCAACATCTGTATTTCATACTGGCTATTTTTGTTGACCACTAAAGGAGAAAATTCCTTTGCCAAATGTTGTTTTCCCTGTCCCAAACACTGACTTCCCTACCTTTCGTTCCAGTCTTTCATTTGCTCCTTCCTTTCCTGTCAGTCTTCCTATGCTTAGCTTCTCATTTTCATTAATATATTTTCCATGTCTATATTTCTCCTCTGCTGGCCAGCTCATTCTCTTATTTGTACTTCTCTGCACTTCAGTCTACACTTTCTCTCATCACTCTTCTTTAGGAAAAAAATCTTCGCCAGTCTTTTGCAAACTGTATTGAAAGGCATGGAAGAGTCAAATGCAGAAAGGGGTTCAGTAACTATGAATTGTATTCCTTAGGAAAAGGAAGTTTCCACCACTGCCAGGTAGATGCTGAGGGTGGTAACTGTTACAAAACTACAATTCCTCTAGCCCTAATGAAGACTTGAAGCAGGTAGCATAACCAGTTTAAAATACAAAATAATACAGACAGAGCATAGCTGTACAATCTCTGCAGATTTGGATGCTGCCTTTCTCCCACTCTAAGGAAAAAAAAAAGTTGAATTCTATTAATGTCTTGTGGTATTTTAGTTTTGGCAAATAGTTAAATATATATAGTGCTAGACTTTTCATGGGAATACCATTTTTCTTTGCTATATGCTCATTTATTATTGCCTATTTTTATTTGATGGCAGATGGTTATGTCTTTGTAGATGTGCTTGAATTTTATTTTTTTTTTTTAATTGGGACACTTGATTGTCTTTCTTCTACTCACATGGGATAGTACAATCAAAAGGTTCTCTGATGTCTCTCCTATGCACAGGCTGTGGTGCAAACCCCAGTAATGATTTCAAAACCGTAGCCAGTCTTATCCTCAGTTGCTCACCACTGACTTTGCGCCTCACAGCAGCGCGGAGCACACATGGCCACGCTCCCTGAGGCGGCAGCTGGACGCTTTGCCTTCCTCTCGGATTTACTGGCATTAACGAAAACCACCTCTAGCAAGGGAGCCCAGGTGGGAAAAAGAAATTGGTGTAGACTGCATTACCGCATAAGGAAGGAAATGTGACTGGAATTCGAAGAGTTGCATAAATTTTAAAAACAATAGCGTGTAATTAGCTTTCCCCGTGAATTAACACAACTGCGGTACAAACTACTAACTTGGCTGGAAGCGCTGATCTTCCTGCTCTAGTGCTAACGCGACGACATCTAGGCAAATTAGCTTCTGCCTCCCGCCCGCTGAAGCAGGGGCCGCGCAGCCAGGTTGCTCGGCAATCCGCTCCGCTCCGCCTGACGCCCCGAGCCGGCCGAAGGCGAGCAGCTGCCTTCCCTCCCGCCGCTCCCCCCCGCCACCGTTTTCTGGTCGCCTTTTCCTCCTTGAGGCAACTTCCTCCAGCGTATGCGGCCTGCCGCAGCCCTCCCCTCAGCCCCCTGAGGGGAGCTCTCCTCAGGCTGCGGCTGGGCGGGGCGGGGGCGGTTAACGGCCGGGGCGCGCGGCCGCCCGGCATGGCGGCGGGCGAGCAGCAGAGCCGCGACTACCTGCGGCGCCACCGGCTCCCCGAGCTGCTGCAGCGCCTGACCGCGCTGCTGCTCCACCACCGCCCCGGTGCGGCCCCGCGGGCGGCGGGGAGGGGCGCGGGGGGGGGGCCTCCGGTCGGCCGCTTGCTGAGGGTCCCGCGCCTGTGGGGCTTCTTGCTTGGTTGCAGAAAGGCCCCGCGAGTTCCTGCTGCAGGCGCTGGAGAGGGTGAAGGCCGGCCGACGGGGCGAGGGCGGGTACCCTGACCTCATGGACGAGGCTAACCTGGACGCCATGTTCAGCTTGCTGGATGTCGTAGGCCAAGGCCACGTAACGCCGGCGCAGTACCGGGAAGGTGCGTCTTACCTCGGCAGCAGGTCGTGCTGAGAGGGTGGTAGTTGTCTGCACAGAATTATTAAAACAGTTTCCAAGCTACGCATATGTATACCTTAAAAATAGCCACACGTCTGGCAATACACAACCCGGAACTTGGAAAGTTACAAAAGATACGTAATTTTAAGTTACTTCGGTTTACCTTTTATTATAACTAGGCCGCTTTAAGATGTTAAATTAATCTTGCAAAGACTTGCATAGGGAATTCTCTTTCCTTAACTTTAGCTCATAAAACTTTGGGACTGAGCACTGAAGATCTGCAGGTAGGAGACGATGTGAATATCACACTGGACGTGTTCAAGGAAGAAGTGTAAGTTTAAATGAAAACGGTTTTGGGGGTGAGGGAATATGCACATGAGATATTTTACTGAGATTTGTTTACAAAACTACATAATTAAAGGGCTTGCTGCTTTAATCTTAATCCCTTTACTTTGTACTACAAGATCTGAACAGGTCAGTTACTGCCCAACCTCGCTTGGCTTGCTGTAACCCGAACCAAAGTCTGCATTTTCCTCCACCATCTCAGTTCCAGGATCCCTCTCAGATTACCTGCCCCTCAGGTCAGACAGACGGTCAGCAGGTAGCCCGGGGGTTCAAATACTGATCTGAAAATGTGACAGTGTTGTCTTTGCCAGAGGTGGTATCCCAGCTGTAGATTAAACAAGCTCAGAGTTTTAATAATTTCTCTTGGTCAAGGTACAGTTCAAGGGGCAATTTTTTGGTAACCTTTGTAGTCACCAAAAGGTAACTGGAAATAATTATCCTCATTGTTATCTAACTATAATTCTTTTTTTTGTTTGTTTGTTTTAGGAAGAAAAAGATGCTGGAGAGCTGGGCTGTGTATTAGCTTGAGCAGTGGTCTGCTATATACATGATAAAAATAGACATCTTGCTCAAGTTCTGGTTTGTCAGCAGTGGATAGCCAATACTCTATTTTTCTTGATCCATCCCCCCCATTTGAGCAATCAGCTGAAAAACACAAAGAACAAGAACTTGTTCGTGGTTACCAGGCAGTAGAGAGGTATAGCTTGAGAATTGCATTTCTTAATACAATTAGATAGTTAAAAAAACTATCTTTTTTTAAAAAGATATCTTGTTTAAACAGCTGGCTTACAGTAAGGGATTGTTCCATGTTGGCTCATTATCAATTAATAAATTTAAGAATGGAGCTGTTTCTTGTTTTTTGGACTTGTGCTGTGTTGTGTGTTTTTTTTTTTTTTTAAGGAAAGACCAACTTCAGCCAGTTATGACAATTGTCCGCATTTAAAGAAAGGTAGCACTTCCAAGTAAAATCCTATTTTTAAACTTACAGCGCAGTATTTATGCAATTTCTGAGGAGAAACTTTTAAAAAAATCAGGAGAGACTTTAGTACAGCAAAGAAAAAAAATTTTAATTAATGTGAATAAAGAAAACAAAGTGACATATTCTTTCTTTTTGTGTTCTGTTTATACACATTTTAATACAGAATATCCATTATCTGGGATTTAGAGATGTAAATCGTGTGTTTACGTGAAGGTGAACCAGTTCATATGGAAGAGTTGTTCATCTTGTGCACAGGTGTATTTACACTGTTAATACTCTGTATTCCATATAGAATGATGTTACAGCACACAACCATGACAAGGCAGACATACCCATTAGAGATGAAGACAGTTTTAGCTTCTAACTGCAATGGCAAAGGGCTACGGAAAATAAGATCTGTGCAGTTAGAAAGCAAGTCAACATTTTGAAAATTTTTTTTAAAGTGTACGCAAGGCATAAGCTTAGATGAAACCAGTCATTCAGCATACAGTATTGAAAAAAATAACCCAAGTATATTACAAGAGAGTGGCTTTGTTTTTATTTAAAATAAGTAATCTAGACCAAGTTATTAACCATTTCTGAAGAAGTCTTTATTTTCCTGTATTTGGCCAACTAGCTCTCAAATTGAGAAGAATCTCAACATCCTTTTGAGCTAATTTATAAACCCCAAGTTCATTTAATGCTGCTGTTGCAGATGGCTGGTTTGGCTTTAATGATTCATTTTCTGAAGCTGACTGTAGTACATCCTTCAGAAGCAAGGCAGAGCCAAGATTCAGGTTCAGGATAATGCAGGCTTCTTTTATGCTAGAGGGAAAAGTTACATGGAATTAATATGAGCAGCACGCATAAGGTACACTCAATTTTGCGCACACAGTGATTAACAAAATAACCTCTATAGACTTCTGAAAAGGATCAGAAGTATTGCACTGAAAATTACTGCTTAGATCAAGGCAAATAGCGTACTTGTTCTTACTGTCTAAGCCTTTTCTGTTATGTATGTGTATTTCATAAGCATCACTATTTTTGCCTCGCAGTGCTCAGCCTGGATTTTGCTGCTTAAGTTTTTCCACCAGTATTAAAAATACAGAATAGAATTCACCATTTAATCAGTTTAGCTTTAACTGTATCTTCCCCTATGATAATTAGGAACTTCTTATTCAGTGTATTTTGAGAGCATAATTTAACAGACAGTTGCTAGAACCTGAACATTTTCCCTAATTAATATCATTAGGGAGCAAACAGATACCCTGTCTTTGTCACATTGTTTCAAGTCTAAATAAAATAGAAGTGATGTACCCGTTCTGCATTATTTTTTAAGGTTCCTTTGTGCATGTGTCCCCTTCCTATGCTGGGCATAATATGTATGTATCGATACCTTTATGAAGGTGACATGTTCAAAGAAACCCTTGAACCTGAAGATGCGACATGAATACTCCAATTAAAAAATGCCAACATATTTGTCTTCCAAGTGTTCAAGACTGAATGCCATGCTCCATACTGATTTAAAAATACTGAAATTTCTGCCCCAATTAGCCTAGGAGTTTAGCGCTGGACTCTTTAGAAGACAGTGGGATATTTAAAACAGACTAACCATAAAGAAGGTAGTTTCTTCTCATCAATGAAAGCAACTAGACTGCTATGCAAGGCAATTCTGAGCAGGAACATAGTTCAGTCTTTCTTCTAAAAATAAAGCCAGCTTATTGTGTTTTAACTATATCTTTGAGTAGGTTTTTTGGCCCTAGTTTCAGAAGCCTGTGCTAGTTCTATTTCTTCCAGAAGTTAATTTAGCTAGACATCCTGACTGCACAAAATACTCCAGACCACATACCACAGTCCACTGCTATCTGAGCATACACTGCAGAATCAAAACTTTCCTAGTTGTAAACACTGGAAGCATAAATGATCCACGTATTTCAAGTGTAGTTCAAAACTTCCTGCGAAAATATTTTGGCGATACATAAAGCACATGTATTCATCTGAACATTCACTTTAGAAATACCGATAGATAGAAGTTTGTCTTCTTACTGTTTAAAGTAGTTTTCTGGCCTCTTGCAATAGTGTGAAAACAAAGGGAACAGATTTCTACTCATGTCAAACTGGAGTTGTGCTGCTCCTCCTTCATTGAAATGATTTGCCATAATTATCTACAAACACAAAGAGGTGCATCTACTGTTTAGGCCAGTTACTGACACCTACACTGTATTGCATAGGTCACATCTTGCCAATACCTACTTCCTGATATATGTATACATCCACTTTCTCTGCAAGCATTTGCCAGAAAATTTTGAACAGTGAGTGACAGAGCTGCTGTTCTAGTTGTAGCAAGCGGTCTCGTAGGGTCAACAACATTGGGCAAGCTGTGCTCGATAAAGACATTACTGCTTGCTCTGCTTGAGATGGTAAAGATAACCACCTGAAAGAAATGACACTGAAGTCATTATAATTAAATTATTCATATTACAATGACTGAAATTAAAATTATCCTTTAAAAAAAAAATCTTACCCATTTACAATGATTCAGAGAAAGTTCTCCTTTCCCATTTCAAATTTAAAAGTAATCATAGTCTAATGCCATTTTAAAACTTAATTTAATATTAAACTCATTCTTTAGTTGTAAATCTCTGAACATGCCATCTCTGAACAAACCCCATCTAACCTAGAAAACCATCAAATAGTTGTATTCCTTTTATAAAGTACTTCAGAAATGCTCTACTTGGGAGCAAACATTCAGGGAGCCCTATGAGCATGAAGACAGAAGTCATTATGGGCCATTTTGTACTAACTTTAATACAACTATGAAGAAAACAATCCTTGTCCAAACTAGAGTGATCCAGAATTCTTCTTAGGGTTTTTAAGATAACACACTCACTACTTGTGGAACTACTTTAGAAAACATACGATTAAAATAGTCTTGAAGTAAGTGTTAAGAGAATTTTTCAAAACTTACTACTCCATACCATTCCTATTCAGGAAAATAATTTTGCCTGTTAGCTACTTCTGCCTTTATTTACCTCAATCTTTTTAACAGGAAATAATGTTGTAATACAGGAGGAGAGTAAACACAGAATCACCTCTCTCTTTTGTACAGCTTTGCAGCATCTTTGACCTCTCTGAAGACATGATCTACTTGACGAGTCAGCATGTCATGTTTCAGGCGTTCCAGGAGGTTAATCATTTCATCAAAGACAGAACTCTCCATAGAAGCCAGCTGCCCCAGCTGTAGTTTGTTAACAGCATTACTTTCTGCACGAACCTCCAGTTCAGCCTGCTGTAGCTGCAAGAAGAACTAGAGAAACAAAACCAGATATGGATACTACAAAAAATAATCTTACCATTTCAACTTTTCACTGGTACTTTAATGAGCGCGGTTCTAGAAAACACTCTCCTGACAAATTTATAAACTTAAAACTTCAAGATTTTAAAAACACTTTCTTATCATTCCCTGTGGTCCTGATGTAGTGAAAAACAAACCACAGTGGTTTAATTCTAGTGATGAAACTGATACAGGTTTCAGATACAACAGCAGATAGGTAATGGGAATAGGTCTATAGAAATACCAAATACATACTTTAAGATTGACAGCAGCATGCTTAAAAAAAAAAAAAAAAAAACCAAACAGATTTTGACCTTTTCAATGTTTGCAAAAGTAAACTAGAATCTTTACTTGTAATTTGTTTCAGAAATAACCGTTCATTAAATCCTAAATTTTCTAGTCTGATGACAGCAAGAAAATGGATCAAGTTTAATGTGACATAGTGGTAACAACTTGTCAGGTCTTGCTTTTAAGCAGATTGAGATCTTAGGTAGCCACAGCTATACAACATGAAGGCTGCTGTCCTATCAAGTCAAGATTATCCTCCACTAGAGCCACAGTTCCCTGTGAAGACAAAAAGAATTTGGAGACTGCCCATCTCACACGCAATACCTATTTCCACACACTTCACAGGCAACAGGTTTTTTTGCCTTTTATACCAATAACCATAGAAAAGCTGAAATGCTACAGAATAGCCATGCTGCCACCAGGCTCTTATGTAGCAAAATAATTAATTCCAAATCCCCAGTTATCAGGGAGTGGCTTTTTTGAGTAACACCTAAACCATGTTGCAGGGCAGATAGCCGGGCTGCATCCATTTAAGCTAACCTGCCATGGGAGTAGTTCAAGCATCGTGTCCAGGCTACTGCATGCACTTCAACACCAATGCTGTTAACACTGGCTCAGAGATCTCCCAAACCAACTCACTGATTTTTTTACAATACAAAGCATGTAAAGGAGACTACTTTTTTGTCCAGATTATTTTATGCCCCAGGCTCTCTTTGCATTTCTCTAGAAAGTTGTAATTAATACAGCTTAGATCTCAAACAATCTGTCCTTATTTACACATCTTTTATTAAATCTGAATTTACATTTCATTCTATTTTTTCAGTAATCCTTCTGAAGCTGAAAATAAAATATTTGTTATGAAACAAACAACCAAAGTCCATTTTTTTTTTTTTTTAAGGTAAAATAATTACTTACTACATTGTCAGCCCAGTCTGCCAACACTGTTGCTATGTAGTTAACAGCATTAAGGATTGCACAGTATCGGAAGCCTAAGGAAGCTCTAGTCTCTTCCTTCATTACTTGAGTTAATCGTATCCTGAAATCATCAACTAACTCCTTCTGTAGGCCCAGGAACTGTAGTTTTCTGGAAGCTGTTGGAAGATTCTTATACCTATCTGGAAAGACATTAATAAAATACTTACAGGTTTTCCAACACTAAACAAACAACTTTCAAAAAGAAACATTACAGTCATCTTACTATACAACCTTACGTCTATGAGAACATCATCTCGTATTTAAAACAGCTGACAGATTTTAACAATTTCAGGGAACTACTCACTGCAA